CTTGTGTTTTTACTCATACTAATCTGGCACCCGGCTGTGTTCCATTCTGCATGTCTTCTGAGGGATACCCCATATCCTTGGCAAGGAGCAGCTGGAGGGTGTGCATATGTTATGGTCTCCCAGCTGCCCATCCATCCAGAATGGTACTCCATATGGACTGATCAAGTATTTATTATATATATATTGTCATTTCGAGCGTTGACTTTGTTTGTCCACATCATAAGAGATATATATGTGCTGGTAACACAGGAGTATTTGCACTGCTCATCCACTCACGTATGCATTTTATTCTGATTATACCCCATCACCATTTTGAGTGCTGAATATGCTTGTACGATTTACAAGGCGTTGTGTTCAATTTTGACTCACCTTACCTAAGAAAGCATAAGCCACTATAAGTGGAGCTCAGCTGCACTGCCCACCAACTTTGTGATTCCTGTACATTGCACAGAAAATATGTCTGCCTTAATCCCATAATTTAACCAGGTACAAGGGAGCAAAAACATCAGTAGTGTCAGATTTATCATCAGATGTACCAGGTATGTTTTGAACAAAAATTCAATTGTAGATAAATTTGGTTTTGATCAAGCAAAAAACATTGCATATTTCAGTATTATAATCTGGAGGTGAATCACACATTGCTTAACCACTTGACCTCCAGAAGGTTTTACCCCCTTCATGACCGGGGCATTTTGTGCAATTTTAACTGGCAATTGCTCGGTCATGCAACATTGTACCCAAAATTAATATCATTTTTTTCACGCAAATAGAGCTTTTTTTGGTGGTATTTAATCACTACTGTTTTTTTTTTTTTAACTTTTTGCTATATAATTGAAAAAAATACTGAAAAATTTGAAAAAAAAAAACACATTCTTCTTAGTTTCTGTTATAAAAGTTTGCAAATAATTAATCTTTGTTTATACATTTAGGCCAAAATGTATTCTGTTTTTAAAATCATTGTATATTATTTAGTCTGTGTGAAAAGATATAGAGTCTACATACTATGGGATATATAGTTGATATATAGTTGAAAATGTATCAATTCTGATGTCAATGCCACCTGCCAGTGCCCATCAGTGCCACATATCAGTGCCTACCAGTGCACATCAATGCCACATATCAGTGCCCATCTGAGCTGCCTGTGTCACCTATCATTGCCAGTCAGTGCCAACTATCAGTGCTGCCAATCAGTGGCAGTCAGTGCCGCCTATCAGTGCTTATGAGTGCTGCCTTTCAGTGCCCATAAGTGATGCCTGTCAATGCCCATCAGTGCCACCTACCAGTACCCATCAGTGCAGCCTATCGGTGCCCATCACTGCAGCCTCATTAGCACACATCAGTGAAGGAGAAAAATTACTTATTTACAAAATCTTATAATAAAAACTAAGAAAAAACGTTTTTTTTTTTCAAAATTTTCAGTTGTTTTTTGTTTCTTCAGCAAAAAAATAAAAAACCCAGAGGTGATAAAATACCACCAAAAGAAAGCTCTGTCTCAAAAAAAATGATAAAAATTTCATATGGGTACAGTGTTGCATGACTGTGCAAATGTCAAAGTGTGACAGCGCTGAAAGCTGGAAATTGTCCTGGGAAGGAAGGGGGTATAAGTGCCCTGTTGGCAAGTAGTTAATCTACACCATAATGTAATCACCTTCTGTTTATATTGTACAGTGTGCCCGGCAACAGCTTAACCCCTCACCTACCGGGCACTTATACCCCCTTCCTGCCCAGGACAATTTCCAGCTTTCAGCGCTGTCACACTTTGAATGACAATTGCGCGGTCATGCGACACTGTACCCATATGAAATTTTTATCATTCATTTGTGACAGATAGTTTTATTTTGGTGGTATTTAATCACCTCTGGTTTTTTTATTTTTTCTTACACAAACAAAAAAATTTTGAAAAAAAAAAACATTTTTTCTTAGTTTTTGTTAAAAAATGTAAATAAATGATTTTTCTCCTTCACTGATGTGCGCTAATGAGGCTACAGTGATGGGCACTGATAGGCTGCACTGATGAGGAGGCACTGGTAGGTGGCACTGATGAGCATTGACAGGCATCAGTGATGGGCACTGAAAGGCAGCACTCATATATGGCACTGATAGGCGGCACTGACTGGCACTGATGAGGAGGCACTGATGGGCATTGACAGGCATCACTGATGGGCACTGAAAGGCAGCACTCATATATAGCACTGATAGGTGGCACTGATAGGCGGCACTGATTGACACTGTTAGAGAGAAAGGCAGCAGCAGGAGCCATTGCTGTTGTCAATCAGATCCTGTGAGCAGACAGCGGCGGTGGCTCACTTGGCATTGTAGCCATTCAGAGAAACTTGTAATTTTTTCAAGGATACAAGATGTTCTCCGATTGGACAAGGTTGAGATCCCAACATCACTGCCCTTCCTCTCCACCTTGTGCAATCAGAGAAGGCCTAGTATTCACTAAAAAAAATACTAGGCTTTCTCTGAATGGCAGCAGGACCCAGACAACTGCTGCTATCACTGTAGTAGTGGTGACTGCTGCATAGATTTTCAGCTTCTCCAGTGATTGGTCAGGTATGGGATATGCGTATTTACAAAGCTGGACCATTGTAACTATGCTATAAAAAAACATACCTAAGTTTCAGCTGCATAAGCGGCATATCACCTAATACAAACATTACCTTGGAATACCTTATCGGCATAACCATCGCTAAAACTCTTGCTATCTAGGAACACCATCTGACCTTAACTGAACTCTAGACTTCCAAACACCTCAATGCAACACAAGGAGACTAAAGCTAGCCCTACATGGCTAGAATCTCTCATTCAGATCACACCCTTTAGTCCATTGCCAACTATTGTATTGAGGAAGCCTCAGCGACCACGGCTGTCTGAATACCTGGACAACATGAGTGTTGCTAACTCCAGGCACCAAGGGTATGTGCCCTGCATCTCTCTGGATCTAAAGCTGCCACTGTCTGCATCACCTGCTGCTTCCCCTTTGACACAGTTCAGAACCAAAGAAGGCACAAGCAATGAAAAGGCTTTCCCTCACTGAGACTTTAGGGAGAGGGTGGATCACTGTACTGGGAGGATTTGAGGCAAAGGAGCGCTCTGTACTGGAGGAAATTGTTGGGTGGGTGGGGAGGGGTGATATCTCCCCTGGGGGATGGGGAAGAGATATCTGTACTGGAGGGATTTAGGTGGGGGGAGATATTTGCAATTGGAGTATTTTGTGGGTGGGGAAAAGAGAGCTCGGTAGTGGGTGAATTGGCTGAGGGTTAGAGACCTGGATTAGGGAATTTGAGAGAGTTCTGTACTGCTGAGATATGGGGGTTAGAGAGAGCTGTGGGGATGTGATTGAACTAGCAAAAGGCCATAATTTTTGGTTTTACTGTGTACATTGGCCTGCATGTTATACACTTCTGACCCCAATACATTATATACTCCTGATCCCTGCACTTTGTTTTACGCACTCCTGTCCCCTGTATTGTGTGCGTTACAGACTCATACAGTATACACTATAATGTTCATTGTCTCAACAGTTGTTGGTTATTTTAATTAAGCCCTTCTTTAAAGCAGAACTATACTGCATCTCAGCACCATATACCAAAAACACTATTTAATTTGTTTTTAAAAGTAAAAGCAAACTCACCCCCATCCATCAATGTCTCCATGCTTTTTTTTTGCTGGACCATTTGATATAGTCATTTTGAGTAAGGGCAGATGATTCGTGTAGCAATTACTTCCTGGAATCCATCTGCCCTTAGTTCAGGCATGCAAGCAAGAGGGTGTGCTTAGCTGAGAAAACCCCTGCTGAAGACTCCTGGAATGTATGACATCATTTGCCTAAGCCAGAAACCAGGAAGTAACTAAAGAAACGTAAAAAAAGTTTAAGACAAGTAAATATAATATACCTTCCTATCCATTTACTACTGCTACCAACATAGCGATTTAAAATGGTCAATGCCGATGAAGAAAGTGAAGTTCCACTTTAAGGCAGGTTCAGGCAGAGTGTAAGAGGTCTATACATGTCTTTGATTCTTGCTTGCAACACAGTAGTTAAAGCATATTTTATTGGTACAAGGAAGCTCAAGTTTTATTTAACCATCAAGTTTTATTTAACCATGCCTCTCTCCAAATTTAATGCAATTTGGCCATACTCACCGTTTGCCTTGATGCACCATATTATTACTCTCCGTTGCCCAAAAGTGCAATCCTAGCAGCTCCCCTGCCAAATACTGACTGCATATGATAAGATGAGGTCACTGATCAGCTGATACATTTCCATTTGGCACATTGACTTTTGTCAAGTTGGATCATGCTGACAGGGCTACCTACAGCTCGAATTGCAGCTGATACAACAAGAATTGGTCAAAATGTAATTGTCTGTGTTCAGCCTGTCTCCATGTTCCACAATGCATTCCAAGAATTAGGACAACAATTTGTTCTAACATCTTTCTAAAGCGTCATTCTATCAAGTGAACCTGTTATAGTAGAGTCTAACACTAGCATATAGTCGTTTGGAAATGTCATTTATTAGATAATATTAGTTATAAGCAGAATGCCTTCTGTACTTAGCTAATTAAATCCTTTTTTCATACTTTTTTTTAATGTTGGGGTTGATTTACTAGCACTGTAGAATTCAAAATCTGGTGGAACTTTGCGTGGTAGCCAATCAGCTTCTAACTTCTGCATGTTCAATTAAGCTTTGACAAAAAAAACCCCAAAAAACTAAAAGCGGATTGGTTTCTATGCAGAGTTGCATCAGATTTTGCACTCTCTAGTTTTGGTAAATCAACCCCAATATGTATTATTACAACTTTTCCAACATGCATGCACAAGTTATCTGATTTAGCTTGAACAAAAGTTCTAGATGGTACAGATTTGTCTAATATTTGAAGCAACCCCTAATGAAAAGACGTGGAGCGTTCACGCTAGATGGGCACTGCACTATATTAGGATGATATAAGGGTTGATATATAAATGGTCTTCAATAAAACTGATGAACTCTTCAGTTAGATGTCAGTGACTTCATAGGAAATTGGGCGACTGTTAACAGCATCCACCATACTCTGTACCATTTCTTCCATCATAGCACGCAGAGAATCGCGCGTTGAAGTGCCCATGTGAGGAGATATAACAACATTGCTCAATTTAAGCAGTGGGTGATCTCTGAAAAAAAATGTGAATTCAATAGTAAATAAGATTTCAAAATAGAATAAGACTTCTTCACAAACTGTGGATTACATGATTGAATATTATGAACATAGGCCTCCAGCAAAGCGAAGTGTAAAATGTATACTGCAGTTAGAAAATGTGGTTATCCACAGATCACACCAAATTGTTAAAATTTTAATTTATTTGCTATTATGTATTACCTATTCTGTGCTCTTTTCATAAAAATCTTAGGTAGATATGCTGCTACAGGGCTGAACGGGTGCGCAAAAAACAGGTATAGTGATTTAGCATTTCCGGGTAAGGGGCATGTGCGTGCCCTACCCGCGCCGCCATTTCGCGGTTATGACTGTCAATCACCAGGTCCCCGGCCGGTAATTACTCGCTGGTGCCCCGTGAATTGCCGAGCATTCTCTGACGGGGAAAAGAACTGTTTGTACACAAAACAGTTCCTCTCCCTGTCAGCTTGTGCACACTGCTTTAGATGGCTGTGCACGGCACAGCCATGCAAAACAGTGTATTACAGTGAAGCACAAACATAGGAGCCCCATAGTAAAACACATCCAGATCCAGCACACAGTTAACCCTTTGATCGCCCCTCATGTTAAACCCTTCCTGCCCAGTGCCATTAGTACAGTTTGGTGCTTTTTTTTTAGCAATGATCACTGTATTGGTGTCACTGACGATGTCAGTGATACCAAATCAGTTTTTCCCCCAGTGTCAGAATGCTCAGAACAGTCCGCTAGAAGTCGCTGACTGCCGCCATTACTAGTAAAAAAAAAAAAAAAATTCAGTATCTATACCGCCATTTGTAACGCTATAACTTTCATGTAAGTAAACCCAATTCATTTACATGTATTAGGATTTTTTTTTTTTTTTTTAACAAATACATTTTTATTCTACATTTATGATGAAATTGATTTAAATTTTTTTTTACTGTACATGTTTAATAGCAAAAAGTCAAAAAATATTGTTTTTTTTCTCAAAATTGTCCGGTCTTTTTTTTTTTTTTCATAGCAACAAAAAATGAAAAAATGCAAAGGTGATCAAATACCACAAAGAAATCTCAATTGCGTGGGAAAAAAGGACATAATTTAATTTGGGTGCAGCATTGCATGACCGCGAAATTGTCAGTTAACCTCCCTGGCAGTATTCCCGAGTGTAGCTCGGGGTGACATTTCAGTACCAAAAGCGGTAACCCCGAGCTACATCGGGAATACCATTGCGGCGCTGCTCTGGCATGTGTTCTTCACTTACCTTACCCTGCGCTCCCACGATGTGTCCCCGGCCATCATAGCGGCCGAAGCATCCGGCTGCCTTGTGTGTCCTGTCCCTGTGACAGTGGGTTGTCGGGACGTACGGGCGCCGCCGCTCAGCCGCCGGCGGCGGGAAATTTAAAAATTTTAAAAAAGTCTTTTTTTTTTTTTGTACATTTTACATAGTAAAACATTGCTGTCTCAAAATTTCGACATAAGTCTGTTCTTTCTGCCTGGAAACTGTGAGAAATGTCCATGGCATCCAAAAGTGTCCCTTTAGGTCAAAAGCGGTTTAGATCAGCTAGAGAACAGCGATAGTTGTAAATCAGAACCACTTGCAGAATTGAGTGATAATGATTCGTGGGGGAAATTCGTCATCAGACACTGAAAACATTTTGCAACTGAGCTCAAAGCAATGTGCGAACTTGGCGCTATTTTTCACATTCAGTGTTTTTGGTTTGATTATATTATTGAATTAAATTTTTTATTATTTTTATATTATTTTATGATTAATTTCATTAAATTATATAATTTATGATTTTGTGTTTCAAATTTTATGCTACCGGGATGTTTACTAGACTCTTGTTCGGACAGATTTCAGTGAGTTTTTCCTAAAAATTACCTACAGCCTACATAAAAAAAATACATAGCTACAGGGCATTTCCAGGCAAAAAAAATCGGGCATGTGCTTTCAGCCCAAAAACCCGAAATAATCATACGCGGTTAGGGACTAAAGTAATGCACCCGTCCCCGCAAAAAAAATTGGTCGGAAGGGGGGTAAATCCCAGTGATTGCCGAGTTAATTCTTAATGGCAACCCCGGTATCGAAAAAGCAGCGCATTTTCAGGTGTGTGAAATTACATGACAAGCACATGCTGTGGCCTAAACAGCAACAGCTCTTCAGTGCACAGTCTGCCTTTAGGGGAAGGACCCCTGTGAGAGAGAGCACTGAGCAGCAGAACAGTGTGTTTACAGTGAAGCACAAACATTTGGCCCCATAGTCAAAAAAACACACTTCCAGCACACAGAACAGTTAACAGGCCCAATCAACTATTTGTAAACGCTATAACTTTCATGTAAGGAAACCAATTCATTTACATGTATTAGGATTTTTTTTTTTTAACAAATACATTTTTTATCCTACATTTATGATGAAATTTGATTTAAATTTTTTTACTGTACATGTTTAATAGCAAAAAGTCAAAAATATTGTTTTTTTTCTCAAAATTGTCGGTCTTTTTTTTTTTTTTTTATAGCACAAAAAATAAAAAATGCACAGGTGATCAAATACCACCAAAAGAAATCTCAATTCGTGGGAAAAAAGGACGTAAATTTATTTTGGGTGCAGAATTGCATGACCGCGAAATTGTCAGTTAAAGTAATGCAGCGCCGTACCGCAAAAAATGGCCTGGTCAGGAAGGGGGGTAAATCCTCAGGAGTTAAAGTGGTTAATTCTTAATGGCAACCCCATGCATCGAAAAATGCAGCGCATTTTCAGGTGTGTGAAATTACATGATGCCAAAGCAAATGCTGTGGCCTAACAGCAACAGCTCTTCAGTAACACAGTCTGCCTCTCAGGGGCAGAGACCCCAGAAGAGAGAGAGCTCTGAGCAGACCCTCCCAAACATTTATCTTCTACCCAGCCACAATCCCCCTGGGATTGGCTGAGGTCAGATAAATATTCATAACCTAAGTCCCTAACACTCTCACTCTACTGGAAGCTTCTTCCAGAAGTAGGCAGGCAGGCGCAATCAACTATTAGACTTAGGGAGACCTGGACAGACCTAGAAAATAAAATGCTGCTCAGCTAAGGTACAGCAGAGCCAAAAACTAAAATGTAACCAGCCTATAGCAGGGTGCAACATCAGCATAAAATGGGGATTGGTAGTTTATAGAGTTGACTGAATTATTATATGTGAACTCTGCTAATGGAAGCAGTCTTCCTTACTCATCCTGTGAAAAGGATAAGAAACAATGTATTTCTCTAGATTTTGATTAGCACATTCTTTTTGTCCATTGCTTTGTGGATGATATGCTGAAAAAGGTACAATTCAATACTCAATTCAATACTATATTTTGCAAAGCTCTCTATATAATGTAAAGTTTAATTGTAGCCCCAATCCAAAACAATACTTTGTACACATACTATCTCTTTAATGAAAATGGCAGTAGCAGAGAGGGCCCCTTCCATGGGCAAGAAAGTGTCATCTTGAATAATCATTCCACTACTGCATACATAGTAGTGACATTTTCTGATGAAAACAGTTCAACACTAAAGTCCATAGATATCATTGTCCAAGTCTTTCTGGTACAGGAAGAGATTTTACCAGTCCCTATTTTTTGCTCTTCTCAGTGATTTGTAGACACATACTTTGTCATATTCTCTGAACTCCTGATCCAGATGTGGTCACCCAAAGGATTGATGAATCAAGTCTCTAGTTATACTTGTGCCCAAATGGCCAGCCAAAGGATGGTCATGGAGGGTCTTATGAACTGACACCTGATATAATTCTGGGACCAAAATGTTGTCCTAGAAAATGAACATTTCTTAGAGGCCTTTGACCAAGAGTGGTAAATTGTCAGCAGATGCCTGTTTGATTTGTGGCAAATCTGGATCAGCCAAAGTAACCAGCTGGTATAACAGGATTGGCTTCAGAGGTATCTGTGAATTTTGGGACCTTTTCAAATAAAGTGTACAGCTTATCATTCTTTAATTTTGGGCAGGACATTATATGGAAAGTGAAACGGTAGAAAAATGGAGCCCATCGTGCTGGATTAATAGGTTTTGCAGCCTTCGAGTACTCAATTTTTGGGGATCTGTGAAGATGTGCATTATCATTGTATTTGTAGAACATCTGGCTGTGCACATCTTGGGGCACCAAGAACGTGCCTATATTATAGAGAACCAGGAAATGTTTTCAGGGTCAAAGCCCTTCCAGTCATTTGAGTACTACTGGCGTTTTCCAAGGTGTCTGCAAATGTCTTGTTTTGGAGGGCATAGTGCTGGAGATGGTTCCTGGGATCAAATTTAGTTAAAGATCTTCTGCATGGCACAGGGTATCTGAATCTTTCAGGAAAAGGTATTGGCAAAGGAAGATGTGGATGTTTGAAGAATGAGGAATGAAGAGTGAGCAAATTCAGGGCAGGATGTCAACCCAATCATCACTGTAGGCAGACACTATGGCATGAACTTATTTTTCTAGGGATTGGTTGATCCTATCAGTTAGTCTCTTAGCATGCAGATGGTAGAAAAACTGTAAGATGATGTCCAAACACTTACACAGGCTTTCCCAGAAGCAGGAGTTAAACTTAACCCCACAGTCCAAGACAATGTAGGTTGGTGCTCTTTATCCAAACCTAAGAAAAACATTTTGGTTGAATTTTCACTTCAAGGTTCCAAAAATCCACACAAGGACAAAGGGAATGGTCCTTTTTCTGAACAAAGAAAAATCCTGCCACCTTGTCTCCTGGTGAGGTTAAGGTTTTCTGGATGATCATCAGTGTACAGATGTGAAGACTGTACCACTGGTCCTGAGGGTGGGTAAATATGCTGTGACAACTTGGGGGCTATTTAACTCATTGGTAGTACTTTGTAGTGAGTTCAGTCCATGCCAGATATGGCTTTTAAGGGCTTATAAGTCCACATTTATTTAACACAACAGAAAAAAAATTCACAGCAATCAGTATCCCTTGCAAGGATTTCCACCATCAATACGAAACTAACAATATTCAGCCTCTTGGCTCTCTTTAGCAGCCCTGCTGCTCAGGTCACGTGCCTTGGTCCTCTGGCTGCTCCCTTGAAACCACACACACGGACTCCTGGGGTGGGTGGAACCCAGGACCCTAGTTCTGAGAACCTATCGGTATGCCTGTTGTCCAAAATACCTGGCTCAAACTGCCTTTTTACACTGCCACAATGCCCAAAAGATTTGAGCATTTGAGCGCCAGGCAGAAGTATGATAGGACATTGATTAAGTATGTATGATGGTAGTGTGTCAGCATTCATTATTTTAAATACAGTACATATAGATGTTCAAGGTAAACAGCAGTGATGAATCTGACAGACTGACAGTCATGGCTCTCTGCTCAGAGCTGGGCGGAGAACTCAGCAATCAGTAGTGTTTGATCACTCAGTTCTCTGTGGATTGGATCCATGCTGCATCCACCTAGGTGAATCTAAATGTTTTTTTTTTTTTTTTTAAACTATACTTCTCTTTTAAACGGGTATTAGAATACCTCAACTGTCATTGTTCCCTTCAGATTAGTGGTCCTAACTCCCCCACACCTCCACATTCATAAAAAGAATAACTCACTAAGCTGAACATCCTTGAGGGCTGGTTCACACCATAGAAACGCAGTGCAGATGTATTTCTGCATGCGCGTTTTTGAAGCGTTTTTGGCACGTTACAGTGCATTTGTGATGCATTCCGGTTTATTTTTTCCCCTTTCTTTTTTATTCAATTTAAATAATAGGGGCATGTGCATTCCAGTGTGTTTTTGATGTGTGTTACTGGGTTCTAGTACAGTTCTGTGCAGGAAAAATGCAGCCTGTTTTTTTTTTTTCTGTAACCGGAACACACTGGAACTACAAACACTGATGTGAACTTTGACACTGACAACCATATAACCTACTTTCTGTGCGTTTTGGATGCAAAAAAAAAAAAAAAAAAAGCAACTGAAACACATGTAGTATGAACTGGCCCTGACAGCAAATACAGCAAAAGCTTGAGGGTGGTCAGATCATGCATACTGTACATGCCTTGCCTCATTCGGAACTAAAAAGTAACTTTAGTAACAATGTTAGTGCCTTGGGTAACGGGATGGTGGCCAAATTTAGGGATTTAGGAAACTCCCAGAAAGAAAGGACGCTAAACTGACACTAAGCATTGGTTTAATAAAACAAAACTATAAAAAGTATGTATGTTTAACTCAACAAATCACCTTTTATTGCTCTCAGCCTCCTCTAAATCTCCAAATTATTTATTTATTTTGCAGCTGCTGTGATCTGACTTTCTCTTACAAGGTGGCTACGTTCATTCTCCATGGTCCCACTGTATGTAGGAACATAGCCATCCTCTTTTGCTCGCTTCTGAGATGGACAGTGGACTATAGGATTTGTATTGTGCATAGAGCAGTGCACATTACCACAACTAACATGCACTGCTTGACCCTGTACATGCTCTCCTATGTGTGTCTGCCTTGTGCTAAAGTTTTGCTCCTGCATTGTCCTGGATTGCTACTATGCTTCAGTCATTAAAGTGACACTAATGGATATCCATTTTCTCCAAAACTAATTCATACACATCCACAACTTAATGGCTTTGTAATCTAATTTTCACAAACTTTTTTTCTTGCTGTGTTTTGTTCCTTCTTGTAACATTCTCTCCGAGCACCCAAACCTCTCCTTTTTCCAATTCTCTCCACTTCCATATGTTTGGAACAAGCAGTGCATGTTAGTTGCACTCATGTACATTGTTCTATGCACATACACATCTCATAGTCCATATTTCCTAGTCCATTTTGGAAGTGAGCAAGAGAAGGTGGCTATGTTCCTACAGTGGAACCATGAGAACGAACATAGTCACCCTCTAACAGGAAGTTCGATCACAGCAGCAAATATGTGACATTCTTACTGTTTGACTCACTGGCAGTGAATGTTTGGTGAATGTTAAATTTACTGCTTTATCGGTATGTCATATAATGCTTTAATAATATTTAAATGTGTATTTTGTAAATTAGATATTATATTAAAGAAATATAAAAACGGAAAAAAAAAGTTTCACTTACTAATGTAGAAAAAAAAAAGATTATGCTGTTTCTTATGTAAAAGATTTATCCTATATTATTCTAAATAGCAAATTTTAAACATCTAAAGACTCAACATAGCAACAAATCAAGTTATTACATGGTCTGGTGAGTTCTTAAATCTGTATAACCACAACAGCAATGCACAATGTTGAGTCAACAGAAGTAGATCCATCTACTTTAAATGTTTCTCTCAATGATAATCATAATACACCTTGCTCGTCCATTTTCTGCATTCAAAATAAAGCTATTTAAAGTGTTACTAAACCCACAACAGTAAAATCAGTCTGTACATGCAGAAAAGCATGCTTGTTATACTTACTGTGGAACCTAAGGGGTTAATCCTCTGCATTGTGTACAAAGGCTGTTTGATCCTTTCTTCTCTTCCCCTCCTCTTGTTGAAATGACCACTGATACAGACTGAACCCGTGGTCACATGCACATGCTCAGTTTGGTGTGTGTTGCTAGAGAGGATTTTTTCTTGGAAGGGTGCATGTGATCAGTACAGGGCCAATCAGCACTGTCCAGACAGGTTTCACATCCTCCTTAAACAGAAAGAAAACTCCTCCTACAAGCTTTAACCAGTGCTCTGCTGAAGTCACAAGACTGCTCTAACTGCTGATGAGAAAATGTATTTAGCAGTTTATATTTACTAAAATAATTGCATTTCCATGTTGTGTGTACTGTGGGAGACCAGATATAGTGAATGCAGGGTCCTGGGGTTTAGTAACACTTTAAATGAATTGCCACAAGGCTAATTTTACAAAACACTAATGGTGCCCCTGCAAATTAATACAGAAATATATGGTGTAATTAGGTGAGGAACAATGCATCAGTTCCCTGGGGTATGTTAAAGGAACTCTGTCAGTGAAAAAAAAAATTAAACCAAAAAGATCCTGTAAATGTTGAATTTATACTTACCCCTGCTCGGACAGCAGTCTTTGGAATCTTCACATGTGACACTTCCACATATATGTTAAGTGCCTGCATGCCTAGTTGCGCTCTGTCTATGTCATTGCTGTATTATGCTTTGTAAATCAGCCTTGTGTTATTAAAGATACTTTAATTAATGAAATCGCTTTAAACTAGTGTTCATTAGGCACCATTAACACTAGTGTTATTTCAGATGCGGCTTCAGTCGCCCAGAATTGCATGGCAATGGAAATTACATTGTTTTCAATGGTGCCCGTTCACATCAATGCAATGCTACTGCGATGTGACTTTGGGGAAGGTGCCTGTGCAACTTTTGTGTGAATCTGTGCCCCATAGACTTCAGTAGAGAAGAATCATAGGTTGTTAAGGAGCTGGCACCTGCTGGTGTCCTAACAACCATGAGTCATCCCTATTGTCAACGGCAGATTTCCTGCTGATAGCAAAGAACCAGCATTAAAAAACCAAACCAAACCAAAAAAACGCCATGGGGTCCCCCCTCATTCATCAAAAAAATTTCAAAAGTTAATAAAAACACAACAGTTTTTTGACAAGTCCTTTATTTTTAATAAAAAAAAAAAATGTTTCCTGATGTAGATGCATTGTCAAACATGCTGTCCAGCAATGTAGGTGCATTTCAATCACGATGAATGCCACCTGCACAAGTTGACACAACCACTCCACTGTCTCCCACTGCTAAGTAAACAAAGGGGCAAGGTCACCCAGTGATATCACTAGGTGACCCCGCCCCTTGTGACACCATTTGTCTACATTGCTGGACGACATGACTGATGATGGATATGCATTGGAGGACATATTGATAAAGGACTTTTAAAAAATTGTGTTGTTTTTATTTACTTTTGACATATTTTTGGTGAATGAAATACTCAATCATTCACATGTTGGGGACGATGTGGGGGCCCCCTTGTTAAACAAAGCTTCCAAATTGCGATAAGTCACCCTCCACACCCCCATAACCACTGGGCCAGAGTTGTGGGGAAGAGACCTTTTGTCCTCATCAACACACTTAGTTAAGGCTCTGTTGAAAAAAAAGTAAGGACACAAGTTTAGAATGTACAAGCAGAAGAAGTTACCTAGGCAAGGGTTCTGGATATGTCACATCTAGTGCAGCAGCTTTGATTACTCCCTCTTGTAAGGCTTCCACCAAAGCATCCTGATCAACAACTGGACCTATGTGCAAAGAACATGACCAGTGTAAATAGTTCTGCAATGTTCACAGAATAAAACTGATAAATGGTGTTAAAACCATCTCAAGTCAAAATTTGTTCCTCGTGAGAGCGTGAGAAAGGATCAAAACTCCAACCAGGTTTTTACTGTAATCCAAAGATCTGTTGGAGGTATTTACCCACACTTCCTGCCCTGTTGACAATGTCATGAGACAGGAAGCAAGGAAAAATCTGGAACATAACATTTTTATTTCTGTGTTGCTGTTGGAGAGCTCCCTTCACTTCATTTATCTTTCTAAGATAGCCCTTCATAGCAGTAAAAAAAAACTGAGAGGTGTTCTAAAACAACAGGACATACAGTATAGTATAAGAGAATGTAAAGATTTTTTTTTCTAATAAAAAATGAACTGTAACAATTTATCGAAAAAAATATTAAAGCTAAAGTTTAGTGAAATAATAGTTTTGCTCCTATAGCTGCACATTCACTTACCTGTAATGAAGTATGTCCCACGTCTGTCAGGCATCTGGATCCTGTAGAAATCTTCTGTGCAGTGATGAAGGTCCTTATCCTGCTGCTGAACTTTCAACTCTGATTCTTCTGTGAGCTGCAGCAAAAAAAAATCTGATAGTGGCCATCCCCGCCTCTCTCCAGAAAGAAAAATCTGTGCATTGATTACACTGCATCATAGCACCATTTCTGAATGGGGGACAGTGTGATGAATGACAAGATTCTCTCCCCCATTACTGATGGTAACTTCATCTCTCCCCGCCACTACAGCAACACACACTTTCCCACCTGATGCTTCTGCTGCACTGACGTGCAAGTCCCCACTCTGTTTGTATCCCCTGAGGATGTCCTTTGCATAGATGAAACGCGTACGGTGGGGTTAGCAGCCTATGATGCCATTAACCTACTGGTGTACCACAGTGTGTTTTTTTTTTAGCTTTTGTTACTCTGAGATGCTTGTGAATATATTTGCACAAAATAAATTAGTGTTTTTAGCAATATTACTCTATAGTTATTTGTATTTTCCTCTGACTCTTACTGTGGAGAATTGTGCTTTCCAGACAGCCAGCAGAAGACCTCGTGGGCATGGACGTTGTTACCAAACTCTGGTGTGATTCACATTTGGTGTATCTCCCGCTAGTGATCTCCTAAAATATGGAGATCCAGGTTATCCAGTAAGGGAATTCACATACCTATGTCTCAGGTGGTTGGGACAAAAACATGTGGAACTGTGGCACTTCATTTTCACACAAGCTTCTACACTGGCCCGGCCCCCTAATGGAGCCCTGAATTATTCTTTTGGTAGAGGACTTTCATTTTCACACACAAGATTGTTTATATTAGCCCCCTAGTGGAGCCCTGAATATTCCTTTAGGACTGGACTTTCATTTCTATTATTGTTTGATTTATACGGAATATGGTTTTATTTTTCCATTATATTAGTTTTATTAATTGATGTTGATATTTTTCCATTACTTTACTGTTTGTTTTCATTGTGATTTTTAAGGTCAGAAATTTTGTGCATTCTTTTTGTTTACTATTTTGTTTTCTCCTGTCCAGGACATAGGGTGCAGTATTACCCTCTAGCACTGAGCGTATAATTATTTGATGGATTATTTGTGTATGTAACGCCCAAATCCCTTTAAGGCTAAGTTCACACTGCTGTGATCCAACTTTCAGTGCGATTATGTAATGCTCCTTGGATGTGGTTTGCAAATTTCTGTGGAGCCAACACTGCTCTGGGATCGCACATAGTAGTACAAGAACCTTTTTCAAAATCGCTTTGTGATAAGTCACATTGATGTGAACGAACACCATGTGACTTCCATTGTCATACGATTCTGGGTGACTCAAGTCACATCTGAAATTGCACTAGTGTGAACTAGGCCTTAAAGACATGAGATTAAGCAACACAGGAAAAATCATATAGGCATACAATAAAAGATATTAGGTTTATGTAGGTTCTAACACACAAGGAATAGAACTAAGCAACTTATACAAACCTCTGCTGACATTAATCAAAGTTCCTGAAGGCTTCATTAGTTTCAGTTCTCTTTTCCCAATCAGTTTTTCTGTCTGTGGAGTTAGGTTAACAACCAGCATTACATAATCTGACTGTTTGAGCAAATCTGCCAGATTTTCACAGTATGTGGCTCCAACTGACTTTTCTTCTTCCAGTCTGCAAGAAATATTCTCATGATTAAAATAATAAAATAAACTGTATTATGATATGTGAGGCTCTCTGCTTCAACAGTGGGGTGTTGTCCATCCTACTCTATGATCTTGCATGCATTACTAAAGCAAAGATCACCTTGGTGCTGGATGGATAGGGTATATTGGGAGGTCTACCAGACCACCATTCAATGAAAAAAATAAACATATTGCAAACATACATCACGTATGTATTGTGCATGAGCAGATTACTGTCAAGCAGTGCAACATTCCCTACTATCTTTCTTCCCTGTGTGTAAACCCAAACACTTAGGCTTTGTTCACAAGGGTAAATATTGGTTTGCAGCATTCAGAGATGGACAAATCTACTGATTATTGCTGGTGGCCACTGCTATTCCATTATGTGAATGCAGCCTTACATGCCATCCCTGTTCACTGCCACTGGCTCCAGGTCCATACCACTGCCTCCTCAAGTTCCTGTGCCCGTCACATGTACAGTGCAACACAGACAGTGCAGGATCCAGACACTGTCAATCAGGAGCTGGAGGGAGGAGTAGGGGAGTGGCTTGGCACCAGAGAGATCTGGTGGGCTGGCCACTCCATAACGTCAATCTTGTTGGTCTGGAACCAAGATGTTGCACGTTTACTGGTGTGTTTTTGGGGTCGTTGTCTTGTTGGAACACCCATTTCAAGGGCATTTCCTCTTCGGCATAAGGCAGCATGACCTCTTCAAGTATTCTGATGTATTCAAACTGATCCATGATCCCTGGTATGCGATAAATAGGCCCAACACTGTAGTATGAGAAACATCCCCATATCATGATGCTTGCGCAACCATGCTTCACTGTCTTCACAGTGTACTGTGGCTTGAATTCAGTGTTTGGGGGTCGTCTGACAAACTGTCCCCGGCCACTAGACCCAAAAAGAACAATCTTACTTTCATCAGTCCACAAAATGTTGCACCATTTCTCTTTAGGCCAGTCAATGTGCTCTTTGGCAAATTGTAACCTCTTCAGCACGTCTTTTTTTTTCAACAGTGGGACTTTGCGGGGGCTTCTTACAGATAGCTTGACTTCACATAGGCGTCTTCTAATTGTAACAGTACTCACAGGTAACTTTAGACCTTCTTTGATCTTCCTGGAGCTGATTGTTGGCTGAGTCCTTGCCATTTTGGCTATTCTTCTATCCATTCGAATGGTAGTGTTTCCACTTTCTTCCACATCTTTCAGGTTTTGGTTGCCATTTTAAAGCATTTGCGATCATTTTAGCTGAGCAGCCTATCATTTTCTGCACTTCTTTATATGTTTTCACCTCTCCAATCAACTTTTTAATCAAGGTACGCTGTTCTTCTGAACAATGTCTGGAACGACCCATTTTCCTCAGAATTTCAGAGAGAAATGCACTGTAACCAGCATGTACAACATTTGCTGCCTTCCTTCCTTAAATAAGGGCAATAATTGCCATCTGTTTTTCAAAGAATGAATGACCTCACTAATAGAACTCTACACTGCTATTATTGTGAACATGCCCCTTTCAATTAGTGATTCAATTACACAGAATCAGCAGCATGCATGTCATGACTGTTGGGTCTGTTGGATTTCTATTACTCTACTACACCTGCTAGTAAATTATTTGCCATGTAGAAATATAATTTCTATCCCAAAAACAGTGATTGATCAGGTTAGTGATGTCTGACTGCTATTATTTTGAACACAACTGTATATAAGAGCCATTTTATTTGCCTTGCATTTTTGTCCATCCAGGGCTAAGATTTTCTCAGCTTTTCTACACAGCACATCTTTGCTTGCCAAGGATGGGACCTGTTCTTTCTCTGTTGCAGTTTTGCTTTCACTACAGATCCCCTTTATTCCACCCTGTTAATGGACAGTAAAAATTATCACACTGATAAGCAATTTTCTTTACTCTCCCCTCCCACCAGCATGCTCCCTGCACTGCAGCACACCTGGCTGGCTCCTTGAACTGCTTCTCTCTCCCCCTCTCTGAGCTCAACTGTACAAACTGAAGAATAGTCTGCAAGAAGCCAGTACCAAGTCAGGTGCAGGCACTACACTGCTTGCATTAAACAAAAAAAACCTGAAAACTATTCATTACTGAGCTGTCTTTTTTGGGTCTTGGGTCTTTTATATCCACCTGGAGTTTCCTGCCTGATGCACCTACAACTCCTGTGTCATTTAGCAACAGTTATTCCTACAGATGTCTATGTAAATTTTCTGACACTCGGCATCGTGCACTCAGCTGGGGACAGTGGCATAGCGTGTGTTGTCAGCGCCTGGGGCAAGGCAAGTAGTTTGTGCCCCATAATCCTAATTTACAGCAGAGCGGCTAACCAATAACCCAGACGTAATGCTAGGGTTATAGGCTGGCTGGAAAGAATGACAATAAAAACCTGTTGTAGGGGGAAACTCCTTATTATGCCAACCGCCCTCTCACAGACTTTCACAAATCCCCCCCCCCACAGCTCTCACCTCTTCACAAATCCCCCCCCCCCACACACACACAGCTCTCGCTTCTTCACAAATCTTCCCTACAGCTCTCATCTCTGCACAGATCCCCCCACAGCTCTCACCCCTTCACAATCCCCCCTCCACATGCACTCTTTAGAAATCCCCCCCCACATACACACACACTTTTCACAGCTCTCGCCTCTTCTTCACAAATACCCCCCCAACACTCTTCACAAGTCCCCCCCCCCCCCTACAGCTCTCGCCTCTGCACAACCCCCCTCCACAGCTCTCTCCTCTTCACAAATACCCCTGCCCACAACTCTCACAAGACCCCACACACACACACACACACACTCTCTCTTCACAAATCCATCCCCCATCCCCACAGCTCTCTCCTCTTCATAAATACCCCTCCTCCCCACAACTTCATCTTCTTCACAAATACCCCCCCTGCCCACAAATCCCCACCCTACCTCTCTCCTCTTCACAAATACTCCCCCGACCTCAACTCTCACCTCTTCACAAATCCCTTCCCCCCACAGCTCTCATCTTCACAAATACTCCCCCTCCCCACAGTTCTCTCCTCTTGACAAATCCCCCCCCCCCCCAACAGCTCTCTCCTCTTCACAAATCCCCCCCACACACACACAGCACTCGTCTTCACAAATACCCCCGCCCACAACTCTCACCTCTTCACAAGTCTCCCCCCACACACTCTTTACAAGACCCCCCACCAGCTCTCTCCTATTCCCAACCCCCTCCTCCCCCCCACAGCGCTCTCCTCTTCACAAATCCCCCCCCCCCCCCCAGCTCTCTCCTCTTCACAAATACCCCCGCCCACAACTCTCACCTCTTCAGAAGCTTCCCCCCACACACTCTTCACAAGACCCCCCACAGCTCTCTTCTCTTCCCAACCCCCTCCTCCCCACAGCGCTCTCCTCTTCACAAATACCCCCCCACCCACAACTCTCACCTCTTCAAAAGTCCCCCACCCAAACACGCAATCTCTGCAAATCCCCTCCCACAGCTCTCTCCTCTTCACAAATACCCCCTTGCCCACAACTCTCACCTCTTCACAAATAACCCCCACACTCTCCACAATTCTCCCCCCCCCCCCCCCCCTTCAAAAATCTACCCACACTCTTCACAGCTCTCTCCTCTTCACAAATCTCTCCCTCCCAAACACTCTTCACAATTCATGCACGCACACACACACACTATTCCCAGCTCTCACCTCCTCTCAGATTCACTTTTCCCTCACACAGCTCATCTTTTAAAAAATCTACCCATCCGTCACACAGCTCATCTATTCACAAATCTCTTCATCCCCCAGCTATCACCTCTGCACTACACCTTCAAACACCCCACAGCAGACTTTCTACACAACCGCCCCCCTCCTTTCCCTCCACAGCTCTCTCTTACCTCTTACAGTCTTACATTGGTGCAGCAGGCAATGCTTCAGTAGATGCGTGCCATGTGCAGGCAGCTCTCCCAATTTAGAACAGCACAGAGCCGAGGGAAGGTGTCAAAACAAGCAGGGAGGTTGGGAGGGGGGGAAAGTGACAGGAGTAGCCTCCCGCAGCGCCATGAACAAAAAAGAAAGCTGCTAGTTGCTGCTTCTGGATCGGGGGGCGGGCATCAACCAACATATGCCCTGCACCGCACATGCCCTGATTGGCTGCTGATTGAACACAGAAGCCGGTAGAGAAAGTGATTAGTGCAAAACGTCCTTCACCGCCTTCTGAGTTTTGTGACAAATTGGAGAGGACAGGGCTAGGAGGTGGCAGAATGGAGTTGCGCCCCTCTACATTTTGCGCCCAGGGCGAGTGCACCAGCTGCTCCCCCCAGGTATCAGTATCTCTGGATGATATCACAGATTTTTAGAAACCATTTCTATTTTGATATTCCGTGTTGATTCAGTTAAATTGTACTTCTGTTGGGGTTAAAGGTTTCCTAGCATTGCCCTTGGTTAATTAATCGTAAGAGTGAATAAATGATTACCAAAATTTGTACTTGACCACAATGTCAAAGTGGAGAGAAGTCCAGGCAGATTGGAGTCTAAAACTGTAAGGAAAGTGAAGCTCTCACTATAAGTAACACAGACACTTGTGTTACCTGCTTAGTTAAGTGTCTTCTATACTAGATACCAACATTTATTTTTATCCCACAGTGTACTTCGAAGTGTTAACAGCATGTATTTGTTCCCTTAGACATAAACACGGCTCTGATCAACTTAAAGAAAATGTAAACCCAACATTTCTTATTTTGGATATGTGCCTGCTTTACCATGCACTCAGGGCCGGTGCTTCCACTAGACTAGGGGTAAGCAACCTTAGACACTCAAAAAAGCAATTTGGACCGTTTCTCACAAAAAAAAAAAAACACAGGAAGCCCCAAAACCCTTATGACATCTAAAATGAAGATAACACTACATATCGTTTTTTACCTTTCTATTTTTTTACCTTTCTTACCCTTCTTCCTGTGGCCTCAGCAAAGTTCACATATCGGCAGAACAGCGCTATTTGTTCAATATCACCTTTGTCTCTGGATTCATCACAGGCAATTGAGTATGCCACAGCTGAACTGATGCCTTTAATTTGCTGTCTGGTGATGTTTTCTGCCATTTTTATGGTTCCGTCTTTGCAGAGGCCATAGAGGGATTACTTTGACGCAGTTGGCCAGCTTAAGCATGTATTGCAGTATGTGTGAACTAAATATCCCTATTTATTGCATAGTCTGCTTGAAAGGGTATATACCAGTGTGCAGAGGGTCCTTCAGAATCTCTAGTGTTAATATGTGGTTACACCCCTTTAGCACCTGATGGATAAATGCATGTACTAGCTGTTGGGATTTGAGCACAGGGATCTTTTGTTTGTTGTATACATAAACAGTGATTGCAATTGATAACATGCAGTAAATGTTTGGCTGATAAATTAGTATATAATTCAGTTGATTCTTAAATTGAAATTTGTCAAAACAGGTCATGCTTGCAGGGGCACCCCTAAATAGGGTTGCCATCTCATCTCTTTAAAACCAAACACATATTTATTACACAGGTTCTGAGGCTAATTTATTGCAGATAAGGTACTGAGTTTAATTACCACCTTAGTCAGCCATAAATTAATATAATTAGTGTAATTATTATGTGTTCAGTTTTTAAAAAGGGAGGAGGTGGCAACCCTACCCCCAAATTTTGTCCAAATTCAGCAAGAATCAACCAAATTTCTAGCCATCTATGGCCAGTTTTTTGTCAACACACATTCACCTCAGTTCTATGTAGCATTTGCTCCTATTGGTTTAGGATGGCAAAACACAATGACATGTCTCTCCCCCAATATAGGATGAAGAGTCTGCTGCTCAGTGCTCTGCGGCACTGGCACCCACTACTGTTTTCTCATGCAACAGACAGAAACAGCTCACAGTTGATACTTCTCTCTTCCTAATGACAAGAGTGAGGGATTGTGCCATTTGCGCTGAGATTTTCCAACAAGATGAAAAATCTATATGTGTGAAAACATTTTTAACGCTAGAAGATACCCACTGGGTGGGGGGCAGGATGAGTCCTGTTTGTCACCGTAAAGCTGGCCATACACGGATCAAAATTCAGCCAGTTCACCAGGAACCGGAAATTCTGATCCATGTACGGCCATTCCTGTTTGAGAGGAGTTGATCTAATGACCAATTCCTCTGAAGGGGACTGTCGGATTATTATTTATTTCAGGTACTTATATAGCGCTGTCAATTTACGCAATGATATATATATATATATATTTTTTTTTTAGTACATTCACATCAGTCTTTAACCCTCAAGGGGCATACAATCTAAGGTCCCTAAGTCACATTCATACATACACATACTAGGGCTAATTTAGACAGGATCCAATTCACCTGCCAGTATGTCTTTGGAGTGTGGGAGGAAACCAGAGTACCCGCAGGAAACCCACGCAGGCACAGGGAGAACATGCAAACTCCAGGCAGGTGGTGGTATGGTTGGAATTTGAACCAATGACCCTAGTACTGCCAGACAGAAGTGCTAACCATTTAGCCACTGTGCTGCCCAGGATTATACTTTCGCTCAATCAGTGGTTGCAGCCAGTCAGCTGCAGCGCTGAACAGTGTATTCTGGCAGCTGAGGATACCTTGCAAGAATACAATAACGCAGAAGTGAATTCCCCCACCCATCTCAAATGTGGGGATGAGGGAATCGGCAAGCTGGCCAATCAAAAAAAGATCTTTAATGTAAAATAAAGCACTAAATGAGTTTTAAAATCATTTTAATCAACCACAGAAGCTGTGTAATTATCACATATATTTGTTCAAATGTTTAAAGGGATAGGGTGGCAACCTGCATGTGATTTTCTTTCATGAGGCTTTCAGTAAGGCCTGTTTTCCACGAGCTTCAGCTTGTACAAGAGCAGTGTGAACAGCAAACTTTTCTGAAACTTTCAGCAAGCTTTGAGCAGCTTTCTGTAAGTCTTTAAAGTGCCCTTCCACTCCTGCTAGGAAATACAGTATTATGCACAAATCTTAATGGCAGTCCTGATTGTCACTTTAAACAAGTTGCTAGCAGGCTTTCAACTAGCTTCCAGAAGTGCTGAGGCCTGTTAGCAGCTTGTTTAAAGTGGCAATCAGTACTCCTATTATGATCTGTTGACAAACTGGAGCTCAATAGTACTTTAAAAGCTTCGACAAAGCTTTCTGAAAGCTTTGCAAATGCTTTGTAAAAGCTCACTGTCAAACACTGCTCTTATACAGGCTGAAGTCTGTGTGAAACAGGCATAGAATGCATAAAAGTAAGAAACCTTCAGCCTTTAGAATCACTTTAGATATGATAAAGAATATGTGGCGAAACAAGCAGATGCAACTAAATCAATAAATTCCTAATTATAAAATCACCAATAAAGAGCCTTAGAAAAGTATTAAAACCTTCCCACCTTTGACTTCTGTTGTGATACAAAATCTTCATTTCGAATGCCTTTGCTCTTTGTGCAATTTTATATCCAATCTTTCCCATTCCAACAATGCCGAGAGTGTTCCCTGTTATATCCCCTCTAGATACCCAGTTAACTTGGAAATGATCAGTGTCTGGAGATATTGCAATCTTGTGACCTGTTCAAAGGAAAGTAATTTTTTTTTAAATTACTGTAATGTATTGTGTGTCTTACTGAATAAGTCATATATATATATATATATATATATATATATATATATATATATATATATATAATAGTTTTTACAGTTTCTAACTGGACAGGTTTTAAAAGGAAGACCTAAGAGGTAATTGAAGCTAAAGTTTATTCTGTTCCCTGATGCAAGCAGTGGGCTGGAACTTGGATGGAGTTATGCAAAAATCAAAATGCCTTGATGGGTGGATGTTTGTCTGGAAGAATGGGCGTTCTAGATGGACTGTATTGCTTGTAGCCTGCCCTATGCAATGGTCACATGTGATGCTGAGCTTCCATCATTGAAATTCTATGAATAAAAAATGACAGGTGAGGACCATAAGGCTGAGGAGGAAAGACTAGGTCAGGGGTGTCAAACTCCATTTCATTGCGGGCCGCACCAGCATTATGGTTGCCATCAAAGGGCCGGATGTATCTGTAAGACTAGATGTCCAGAGTACCCCCTTCCCCCATTACATCCGATGTCAAGAATCCCACACCCTCTCTGACATCACCGTGTACCCCCGTGCAGGGTCTGGAGGAGGACCAGAAGAGAGTGAGTGCAGTCGTTTACCTAGAGTCTGCTGAATGCTGAGACCAGGGGAGGCAGAAAGATGAGAGGTGCAGGATTTGGCAGAGGAGTTCTATTCTCTCTGCTGTCGACTGCTGAGACAAGGTGGGGGTGGAGACAAAGGAGTACCTGCAGGAGAGGTGCAAGGACCAATGAAATGGCCTGGAGGGCCAGAATCAGCCCGCGGACCTTGTGTTTGACACCTGTGGACTAGGTGATGCTGGATGTCCTACAGCCATGAAATGAGGCGGGCTCTATCTGACATGCTGCAGCTTCTAATGAACAGTGTGAGAAGCTCGCATTGTGCAATGAAATCACAGTAAACAATTTCAGTACATGAAGGAGCCTGTACAACTGTGCAAGACTGAGGGTTCAGCTTTAACTATTTCAAAAAGTATCCGAAGGTAAATATTACAAAAAATATCATGGGAAATGTATTGTTAAACATTTATTTATTATGGCTCCCCTTTTTGTTTCCCTATACATCATAAAACCATTAATGTTTTAACCTTACATTAACCTCCCTAACGGTATTCCCGAGTGTAGCTCGGGGTAAAATGTCTGTACCAAAAGCGGTAACCCCGAGCTACACTCGGGCTTACCATGCGGCGCTGCATAGGGAGTCCCTGCAGCACTTACCTTGTCCTTCGCTCCCGCGATGTGTCCCCTGCAGCGTCCCTGGCCATCTGGCTGATGGTGGGCATCCGGCTCCTGTGTTCCGGTCCCTGTGACGTCGGGGGACGTACGGGCGCCGCCGGCGGGAAATTTGAAAAAAAAAAAAAAATGTCATTTTTTTCAAAACGATTTCACATAGTAAAACATTGCTGTTTCAACCCATTTCACATACATTTTGTCCCTAGTGCTTTGTCCTGTACCCTGTCTGCATTTTGATTGTTCTTTCTGCTGGAAACTTAGAAATGTCCATGGCGTCCAAAAAGAGTCCCTTTAGGTCAAAAACAGGTTTAGATCAGCTTAGAGAACAGCGATAGTAAATCAGAACCACTTGCAGAATTGAGTGATAATGATTCGTGGAGAAATTCGTCATCAGACACTGAAAACAATTTTGCGACTTTGCTCAGTGATGTGCGAACTTGGCGTTATAGTTCTGTTTCAAATTTCAGTGTTTTTTGTTTGATTATATTATTGAATTAAATGTATTATTATATTATTATTTTTATGCTTATTTATTAAATTATAATTTTGATTTTGTGTTTCAAATTTTATCATACCCGGAATGTTTAATAGACTCTTGTTCGGACAGATTTCAGTGAGTTATTCCTAAATATTACAGCCTACAATAAAAAAACTACATTTCCATGCAAACTCCAAATGGTACCCCTCCTTTTAGCACCAAAAATCTGAAATAATCATACCGCTAGGAGGTTAAATGACAGAGTATTATAATTAAAAACATTGTCATCATTCTCACAATGAACATCTTGGGTGGTGGGAAGACATCAAATTAACATAAGTAACATAATAAAAGATAATAAAAGCCTTGACTGACATTACCTTCCAAAAACTCCTGGCAGACACAAGCAGCAGTGTCATGGCCAAGTCAGCTGTAGAACTGGTCACAGCGTTAGGCGTGTTGGCGACTTTAACCCCATAGTTGGATATCATCTTTAGGTTTAAATGATCCACCCCTGCTCCCGCACTGGCAATCACTTTCAATCGAGGAAGGCATTTCAGAAGTTCTGTATCAACATCAGGCTTGTTTGCCCAATTAAAGATGCACACTATCTTATCCGCTACCTGTTCTTTCTTCTCCTTTAACTCTTTCATAGTGATCAAAGTAAATCGCTCCTCCAAGTAGTCCACATGCTCCTCCATAACTCCAAAGGATCCTCCTATCTCTTGCACCAGTACCCAAGGCAAGTCCTTACCTGTCTCCATATTGTAACTGAAACAAATAGATGAACAAGGTAGAAATGACTAAATATATCAAATTTATCTACAGTGAACTATGTAGAAATTTTGCTATTATAAAGGTGGAACTTCAGTGTCTGGCATCATCAAGGGCCACATAACAGAATCTAAAAAATATGGACTTTGTAGGCTTCACACAGATTACAATAAGGGTATAAAACAGAGGGTTTTAAGAGGGAAAGAAGAGAAGAGGGGGGGAGAGAGAGAGAAGAGAGAGAGAGAAAGAAGAGAGAGAGAGAGAGAGAGAGAGAGAGAGAGAGAAGGGGAGAAAGAGAAAGAGAGAGAGAGAAGGGAGAGAGAGAGAGAGTGAGAGAGAAAGAAAAAGAAAGAAAGAAAACAGACTATGACTGCACAGAATCATGGAAGGAGGAACATCTCCTTATGTAATATGTAGTCAATACTTTTGTGACACTACCCTCGTGAGGGACGCTGTGTTTCTAGGTCCCCCCTAAGTTCTGCACAGCCAAGCAACATGCATTTTCCACACTTGCTTCCACAGTCAGTGAACAGTCCATGAGGTTGGTTTTTGTCATTTTATTAGGGAAATTACTTGAATAGGGGAATGGGGATTAGGGGATGCCCAACTTGACTGAATCAATGCATGGGGACAGATCCTGGGCTGTTCTTTTTCTTGAAAACCATCAGTCTTTGCAGACCAGTAGCAACAGCTCCTTATGGGCAAGGGACCTACGCTGATTTTCAAAGCCCCTCTGAAAATCAGTTTAACCTGCAAACTACATGCAGAGATGTCTCCTCTCCCCTGTAGAACTGCTCTCAGCTCCACAGCCTGCAGACACTACCAGCCCTCCTGGCTGCTCCAAGGATCTCACAGAACAAGGATAAAGGATTAAGCACAGCGCTGTCTTTGAAAGTTTGCTACATGTGGTAGTCTCTCCTCTAGTGAATATCTTGGTGTGCTGATGTACTCAATCTGTCCTCCTTGCTCCCACTGCTCCTAGGCCCTGTTCATACTGCTGAATGGACCCTCCTGAGCCAGCCCAAGTCCAGCCTGAAGGCAAGCCCCCCCCAGACTCCTCCCAGGCCACCGACAGTCTCCTCGGCACTCCATCTTCCACCCAACTCCCCAGCCATCCTGACTATCCCATATTTATGGGCTGGTCCACCACTCTACCAAGGCCTCCCAACCTGGGTTTGGTTAGGCTCCCATAAACATGCAGATTAGGTCTCCAGCTACTCCGCCCACTGGCTTTTGGAAGGTTCTATGGTCCTCCAGAGTCAGGTGGAGTCTGATAGAATCCCTACCTGTTAAACCATCCAGCTTGACCTGCAGTAATCCGACCTTAATCACAGATTCACACAGTTACCATGAGTCATACACAATAAATTTACCTACACTATATATAAACAAAAACACCTGCTCTCTATTGACTCTCCCTGTACAAAATAGCTGCTGTAATGAACACAATTATGTATAAAACCAAATATAACCCACAATATACAGCTCTTACATCAATATAAAGTGCAAAAAATATATAATGCAAACAACAAAAAAACGTGTAATTTCTATTATATAAACTTGTGACTTCTTAAATATGTAAAGTACTTCGTACATATCCGACAAATTAGTCCATTATCCATAAAGTGCAACAATTCTTCCACAACAAAGTGCAATACTATATGACTTGTGCTCTGTGAAATAAAGTGCTTCATGTAATTCCACCACTTCCAATTTCTGCTCCTTGTGCTCCACTCCACCTCCATGTACCACCACCACTAATGAGAACTCACTAGACAGCCATGATCTTCTCAATTAAGATTTGGTCTATATGCGTTGAACACCTCCTGATGACATCAGCATGACAAAACGTACGTTTAGGTTAATTGGCCCAAATGGTCATTCCGGCACTGTAGCCATCACAGTATAGTCACATGATCGCCCTCATCCCTGGTGCCATTTTAATAGAGCACATCTGAGCCCCATTGCAGGCTGAAGCTGCATGCAAGAGTGGCTCCATGGGACCCTGCAACGAAATGGGGCCACCCTCAAGATGGAAATGGAGAAGGCACAAACTTCAAAGCGAAAATGCAAACAAATGACAAGCTGCAGACAGAAAGCACACATGGGAATTCCTGTAGTATTCTGCTATATATCCCATTTCACAGCAAGGGTTTAATAGCGGTCATTGCATTTTTCCAAAAGCCTCAAGTACATGTGGTGGTACAGCAGTAACAATTAATGTAATACTCTTCTATAAAAATGCTTTAACACAGCATTTCACATTGATATACTGTAAAGTAACTAACGAAATCTGTTATGAAGCAGCTAAGAGCCAGTAGAGATATGCAGCTAACATACAGAGAGGCGGGTATCTGCTGCGCAGAATTTCTCTTTTTTTTTAGTAAAAAAAATAAAATAAACTTCCCCAAATGTTTATCAGAAAATACTGTACCTGCCTGGCTGGGAGCGGAGGATTAATGTGCTGTGACTGTCTCCAATTGTACCAGATCAGCACATTCCATTGATCCCTGGCATAACATAACACTGGGCTGGTGCCTGGCTGACTCTGCCCATCACACATCTACACTGTACACACAGCTCTCAGTGCCTTCCTTCTCCTTGGACTGCTGTATTTAGTATACAGGGGTTGGACAAAAATATGATAACACTACATAATTTACAGGTGAGAAAGTAATGTAAGATCCTTTTGCTTCCGCTGTGTGATGAGACACCTAGCTAACAGGTGGGAAGCCTCACTTTTGTCATTCACTGAGTGTGGTGCCAGTAATACAGTCATGTCAGAGCTTACTGAGCTTCAGAGGGCAAATTGTTGGTGCCCACTTAGCTGGTGCCTCTGTTGCGAGTTACAGAATCAAAGGTTACGATGGCATTTACAGTTTCTGGGAAACCGTTGTCTGATAAGTATAAGCATGGTTGACATGGTCAACTGACCAAAGGAGACAAAAGGACATTGCGCAGGATTGTGACCCAGAATAAGAAAACAACTTCTGCAAAAGTGACTGCAGAGCTCAATCTCAGTCTTCCAAAGCCCATATCCACAAGAACTGTGCAGAGGGAACTCCATCAGCAAAACATTCACCAGTGAGTTATAATTGCCAAACCATGAGAAACCGATATTAATGCTCAGAAGAGGGGAAAGTAGTGCAACACCCATAAATTGTGGACGATCGATCAATGGGAAGAGTGTAATATTGCCCAATGAATTGAGCTTCCAACTGTTCCCAACCAATGGATGTGTTTACGTGTGGCAAACATCACCCCAGGCTTACGACCAGGACTGCGGTAAAGCATGGTGGTGGCACAATCAGGTTTGGGCAGCCATTTCTTGGTATTCTGCAGGCCCCCATCATCACCTTGAAAGGCAGTCACTTCCAGCGAAGTACAAAGTTTGGCCAACCATGTGCACCCCATGGTACAGACAATTTCCCAAAGACAGCACCATTTACCAAGACGATAATGCTTCCATTCACACAGCTTGTGTCAAAACTGTGGTTTGATGAGCATGCGGACCATGTACCGAAACCTTTCCTGGCTGCCGCAGTCACCAGACCTCCATACCATAGGGCCACTATGGTCAATTTTGGAGAACAATGTTTGAGCTCATTTTCTGCCTCTGCGAAGAACTGGAACGATTTTTGCATGAAGAGTGGTATCAGATTCCATTATCCACCATCCAAGACTTATGTTTGTCAATTCCCAGGAGAATTCAGGTCGTCTTGGATACCAAAGGTGGTCCAACACCATATTAGTTAAAGATTTTGTTCTTTTGCCTGGTGTTTCCATCATTTTGCCTAACCCCTGTAAAACACAAAGTGGACCCCTCCAACCTGGCACAAAAGTGGCACCACCACCCAGAAGGGAATGTAGGTAACATAGCTTGTCCCCTCCTCCTAGGTGTCACCAACACTGCATTAGCGATGACAAGCTCTATAAGGGAATCTATTACCAGCTGTGTAGATGAAGGTCTCGTCTCTGCTGGATGGTTTATGTAACAGGGCAATGTTCAGGCCAGGCTGCACCGAGCATGCGCACAGCTAGCCTTGCCCACAGTTCTAGCTGTGCCCATTGTGTGCAGTCTCTGTTCATGACATAGAACGGCGCTGGCATCGGATATACACACACACACACATACATAGCTACACGTGCTATCCTCCTGTACATTGGAGACTAGACAGTGTGGGAATCTTTGCTTCCGTCTCCACGCCTCTGACTTCGAAAATGCAAGTTGCTGTCTTTATTTCAACAGTCCGAAGACACGGACCTACTGTACAGCGAGTATACAGGAAGTGAAGGCAGAACCGCCTACTCTGCATACTGGTACAATGTTAGTGCCTTGGAAAATATGAAACACAACAGCCGGGTAATCGGCCTGGGCTGTCCGCGCTCCATACTTTCCCAGAGCGGCTCCTATTCAAATCCGCCGTACTCCTCCCACAGTACATTGGTGCCCTGCTACTGGTCGTACAGGATGGCGTCACTCCATAGGATGCTGTACACATCCCAGAATACATTAGAGCTCTGCTATTGGTTATACAGGATAACGTCACTCCGTAATCTACTGTACTAATGTACTATCGGAATAAATTAGAGCTCTGCTATTGGTTGTACAGGATAACGTCACTCCATAGGCTACTGTAATCCTCTCAGACTACATTGGAGGTTTGCTATTGGTTATACAGGATAACGTCACTCTCTAGTCTACTGTACTACTATCGGAATAAATTAGAGCTCTGCTATTGGTTGTACAGGATAGCGTCACTCCATAGGCTACTGTAATCCTCTGACTACATAGCTATTGGTTATACAGGATAACGTCACTCCGCAGTCTACTGTACTACTATCGGAATAAATTAGAGTTCTGCTATTGGTTGTACAGGATAGCGGCACTCCTCCAGTCTACTGTACTACTATCGGAATAAATTAGAGCTCTGCTATTGGTTGTACAGGATAGCGGCACTCCATAGGCTCCTATAATCTTCTCAGACTACATTAGAGGCCTGCTATTGGTTGTACAGGATAACGTCAGTCCATAGAATACATTAGAGCCCTGCTATTAGTTCTGTAGGATAACGTCACTCCATAGTCTACCGTACACCTCTAAGAATACATTGGAGCCCTGCTATTGGTTGTACAGGATAGCGGCACTACAGAGGCTACTGTAATCCTCTCAAAATACATTAGCGCCCTGCTATTAGTTGTATAGAATAACATCACTCCATAGGCTGCTTCTACTCTATTGGTTGTAGAGTATAACTGGACTCCATAGGTTACCAAACGCGGGGGGGCCATAATCCACTAGCACATTGCCATTGTTTGTTCGGGTCAACGTCACGCTTTAGCTAACGTAAGAAATAGGTCGGAACTTCCGCGGAATGGAAGCTGTAGACACCATCTTTGATTTGGGCAGTTTTGGCGAAGGAATACTGGTTGTTCTCATGGAGGTTTATATGATTAACTCTGGTGAAGCTCATTCCACATTCTGCAAGTTTCTTTTGCAAATCTTGCAAGAATATAATCTATTCTCTTTAGTTCAAATTAAATTAGGGAATTTGCCCTTTTACAAGATGGCGACAGAGGATTCCAATAAATTTTCAGCAGATGGCTATGCGACACTGCGTGCTCCTGAGCTGAGTTCGGTGTATTGCTGGTAGCAGGAGCAGTGTGGTAAGGTGTGAAGGTAGGTGATGGTCTGGTGCTGTGTATCAAACTGGAGCCGTGCCGTTACAGTGGTCTGTATTCCTTCCTTTCTGTATATTTTCAGCAGAACTTGTAGAGATGGACACCATCTAGACTCTACTGTGTGCCCCTCACCACTCAAGGGGGATCAGGACTCTCCTGTTGCCTATTAGCAGTGCATGTTGATTTTCGGGTGTGTGCACATGGAAGTGCACAGAGCAGTGATGACCCCATGGCAGGTCACATCTTGGGGGGATGTGCATTTCCACTGAATTGGCTGTTGACTAAAGAATCAGAATAGACCAATTGGAGAAGAAATCGCTCATTTATCGAGGCGTGGTTTACCACCATAACGATTTTAGGACACGATTGGCATATGGGATTGTACAACCCCTGTTTACACCCATCATATTCTAACAATATACCCAAATAGTGAAGTAAACACACAAGATCTCATTTGCTCTTGCTTTGACTTTACCACACATCAACCACTTACCCTCCTGAGGATTCCCCCCCCCCCCCCCCCCCCCCCCGACAAGGTCAGTTTTTGTGTTATGGCGCTACATTACTTTAACTGACAATTGTGCGGTCATGCAACACTGCACCCAAATGAAATTTATGTTTTTTTTTTTTTTTTTTTTTTTTTTCCCCCACAAATTGAACTTTCTTCTGGTGGTATTTAATCGCCTGCAGGGTTTTGGTTTTTTTTTTTCACCATAAAAAAACAAAGACCAACATTTTTGACTTTTTGCTATTAACCATTTGCCAACCATGCTGTAGCCGAATGACAGCTACAGCACAGTTGTCCAGTTCTGGAAGGGTGTCATATGATGTCCTCCCACACGCCCCCGGCGATCTCCGTGATCACTGTCCTACAGACACAGTAGATCACATTATGTGGTAAAAGGCCAATCACAGCAGCCTTTTACCACAAGATCAGCTGTGTCCAATGACACAGCAGATCACTGGTAAATGCAGTTTCTGGTTATCTGGTGCACTTTCCTCATACTGTCATACCGTGAGGAAAGTACTGCCAATAACCGGCAATTGTCAGACAGATCAGCAATGATGATCAGTGCCCCCCACCTGTGCTGCCAGTCAGTGCCCATCATTGTTGCCTATCCGTGCCACCTCATCAGTGCAGGCTCATCAATCCACATCAGTGAAGGAGAAAAATTACCTGTTTGCAAATTTTATAATAGAGACTTTTTTTTTTTTTTTTGTTTATAGCACAAAAAATAAAACAGCCAGCGCCAATTACAAAAATGTTTTGTGCCTAAAAACGGGACATAAACAGAATGGTTGGCATCCATTTATATCTGTTCCTCAACGGATGTGGACAGTAGCTGTTCTGTTTATAAAAACAGACATGGATTTAAACTGATGGTTATCCATCTACATCCGCCCACCCATAGACATACATTGTGATTCAGTCTGGATTTGTCTGAAAAACTGACAGAGTGATCTGGACTTAATGCCTGTGTGAAAGGGGCCTAAATCGCTGCGCTGTAATGGTGTGCACTGAAAAAAAAAAAGTGTAACGTGTTTTTTGGGGTTTACTTTTCCCTCACCACAGCTTGCTGCGATGCAGAACAGCTTGCTGCAATGACATTTCAGTAAAGATTCAAGAGAAAAGGTTACACTTCACTGCACAGTTTTCAGTGCATCAGCACTGCTGCCGACACTGCACAGCAATGACTGCTTTTTAATGTAGCTGCTGCTGATGTGAACCAGCACTAAGCTCCTAGATATCAATTGAAACTTGTATGTGAATGGTTAAGTGTCCATAGGCTGGACACAAGTGCACGTTAAGTATACTGCATTTGACTTGCCTTTGAGTCATTAGCTGATGTTCATGAGCCATTATACATTCTTCACTTGTTTCTTTCCGTACATAAATTAAAACACTATTTTCCCTGCAATCATAACAGATCTAGTAAATAAAGTGTATGTCCAGGCTAATATGAATGTGTAATAAAATAAGGCTGAAAGCAATTTAATAACTAAAGTGCCTTTTTATTTTCTTCTTGCAATGTAAACTTATCAGTTGATCCTACCAGTAAAAGTCACTTCCTCTTTTAAGGTGACAACACTGTATGTAGACCTTTTATATTTTAGAAAGTGTTGTCACGCTTTACTGAGTGCTTCCGTTACTGAGCTATGGACCTGTGTTTGGATGATGTTACATCCTCTACTGACATATCATGGCTATCCTGAAGGAAAAGGCTGGTCCTATCCACCATGCTGTGTCATGCCTAGTCCCAACCTTCCTCCTGCAATATCTTCAGCTGCAATTTGGTACTGTGGGCAGTGGGTGTCCGTTACCACTCTCTCTGCTTACAGCTGTAGTAGGGCATCCATGGAAGCACCGATGTAGGTTTCCACCCACAATCCTTCCCAATGAGATCAGAAAGACAATCATGGTGGCTGAGTGAATCCTACTAAATAAAAATAAATGGTAAATGTCTATATACATCTTACATTTACTGCTATTTCTTATTGAAAATGTTCAAATGTCTCTCTTTATAGGACTAAAGATAATCTGTCAAAATGTCGTACATGCTTCCGCATTTACATAATGGCTGGCAGGTCGACCAAGCCATCCTTTCCGAGGAAGACCGTGTGCTGGTAATTCGCTTTGGGCATGACTGGGATCCAACATGTATGAAAATGGATGAAGTTTTGTATAGCATAGCTGAGAAGGTAAGCCTAACATGAAGGGATTGAACTCAGACTGCTGCATTGAAATAGAAGGTCTCTGTATCTGGGTTGTGCATCTGTTGCCATTGGAGAGAGTTTCCACTACATCTCGGCCCCACCAGGCAAGAAGAAATCGCCTCAGTGGAGACACAGATGGCACAAAAAACTTGTACTATAAAAACTATCATCAAACCGTAAAAGGTGTTTTGGCTACAGTTAGGTTTCAAGAGTTGGGGCCCGTTCACATTATGGCATTGCAGTGAAGCATGTTACATGCTTTGGTGTGATCAAAAGAACAAAAGGTATACTGCTCAGGCAAACAATCCAGATCAATCCACAACAGGTGCAGGCTCTGGCTCGCCACCACACAAGATGCAATCAATAGGAAGAAGGGTCAGCCGCACACCGGAGGATAGATGAACATAGTGTGTATTTATTGATCCATAGGACACACACAACCCCAGGACATGAACACATGACACAAGTGGGAACTTAAAGCATATACTAAATGTGCTGTGCACTTTTTTGTTTTTCTTTAGTATCCTTTAAGGGCAATCTGTCCCCCCCCCCGATAAGGTCACTAGGACATGCAGCTCACTCTTGTCTTGTGTGTGTGTGTGTGTGTGTGTGTGTGTTAGAAAATACAGTGTGGATATGCCCACTTGTGTCCAGGGTTCAGGTGCAAAGCGGTGATTAGAGCTCCCAACCCCATTTACATTCTACTGTAGAGTCAGAGTTAACCACTTCAAGTCCGGACACTTTTACCCCCTTCCTGTCCAGGCCAATTTTCAGCTTTCAGTGCTATCACACTGTGACTGACAATTTTGCGGTCATGCAACACTGTACCCATATGAATGTTTTAGCATTTTTTTTTTGAGACAGATAAAACTTTGTTTTGGTGGTATTTATTCACTTCTAGAACAACAGAGTGCAGCGCTTAGCGAAGTAAAAAAGTCACTAAATAAATGTCCACAGTAGTACACTGTACAAATACGAATTCCCACGGCTCCGTCTAATAACAGAAATGCGCACTCACCGGAAACGCATGGGTTATGCGCGTGTGTGATCATGCATCACAAGCAATAGGTACATCTGAGGTCAGGCAGCCAAGCATCTCCCTCACGGTGGATCCTCACAGACTCTTAGCTCAGGTACAGGGGTCCCTTTAAGGTCAGCCCGGCGTTCCTTGTAAAAGAACTTCCTCTCAGGATGGCAAAGGTGTTTATTTCTGTGGGGGTGATAGCTCCAAAAAGGAGCCCCAGAACACAAATGCCAAAGATAGTGTAGTATGTCCAAAGTATTTATTAATTTAAAACATAACACAGGGCAGTATGCATGTCAGACTTCAAACACAGTAAGCAGCAATACTGACCCCTTAGTAATGATGGCCGCTGGGCCTCCTCGTGGCTCCGGCGGCGGAATGACGTCACGCTCTGCGCAGCTCCTCCTTAGGCCTTTCGTGCTAGAGGCACATCATCAGAGGGGAGGCTGCACAGGAGCGTGACCGACGTCAGTGCTAGAAATGGGGAAATCAGCACATGCGCAGTTAACCGCGGCCATTTTCCCGGAGAAAGAGAGCACTGCGCATGCGCGAACACGGCAGCGCCATTTTGCCGTGGATCCGCGATCAGACAATAAGACAGGGAAGAGACAGAGAAGGGGTGGAAAAAGAACAGAAAATTAAAAAGAGGAAAAAATATAATAGAGATTATAAGGATTACTCTGATAAAATGGTCTTTGACTGGCAAAAACAGAGTGATCCGGTTAACCCACTGGTCCCTAATCATGTACCCCCCTTTGATGGGACCAAATAAAAATCAAAGTAGATCTAATGTGGGAGAATTGAAGTATCAGCATTATGATCTACCTACTTCTAACAGGTTTGAACCTTTACAGAATATTCATGATGACAATGTTGGATCACGAGATTTTCGTTGGTATCCAAATACTAATACTCCATCTAGAAATCATCACTCTCATCCTTATAATGAACGGGATAGGCTATATGGGAATAGCTACCCCCCAGGCCCTTACAATTATGATCAATACCAACCTCAACAGTATAAAGGGCAAGATGAGAAACAATATTCATCTCCCAGAAACAATAAAAAGGTTAAAAATCCTAATAAAGGTACTTACCATCAACCTAAACAGACTAATTCTCAGTCAAGGCCTGCCAATCACAATAACAATAGGTATAGTAACACACCTTACAACAACTATTTTAGGGCACCACTTAATTCGGATTATTATTATAACCAGCAATATAATCCGGATCATTACCAACAAACAACAAATTATCCCCGGCAGCCTTTTTTAGGGGTAAGTACCACACGGAAAAGAAGAGACACCGAAGGGGAAAGAGAGGGGGAAAGAGAACAAATGGACACCCCCAAGAAAAGGAGGGTGTAAAGACACAAGGTATTTTCAACCTTAGTGGAACTAGTCTCACAGAGAAAGAGCTTCAATTGCTGGATAAAGGATTGAAATATGCCCCATCAAAAAATTTGAATAAATTTGAAACCTATATGGATATACACAAGTTTGCACGACAACTATCCCTGAAAAGGTATTTTGCGAGTAACCCTATCACTAAGGTTGCCCCTATTGATAAATATACCCATTCCAACCTGCATAATGCGTCTACTTATAATCCTCCTCCACAAACCCACACATACGTGAATTTATTCAGAGATAAGGTCCTGAAAGAGTTAACAGAGTTACCATATAAAAGATCTTCTGACAGATCAGGTGATGCTAAAACTATTAAATTATTACTAGAAAGAAATAATTTGGTAATTAGACCAGCTGATAAGGGTGGTGGCGTGGTTTTCTTAACAAGGAGGACTATATTAATGAGGTCAACCATATTTTGAGTGACAATACTACATATGTCCGCTTATCCAAGGATCCCAAAATAGAGTATAAGCGTTCCCTCAAAATTATCATTAATAAAGGATATGAGGAAGGTATTTTAAATAAAAAAGAAAAAGCCTTCTTATGTCCAATAGCACCCAAACTACCAGTCCTATACATATTGCCGAAGGTCCATAAAGACCCTGTAAAACCACCGGGGAGGCCAATAAGAAGTGGCATTGGCTCCTTGTGTTCTAGGATTGGTGAATATGTGGACTTTTTTTCTTCAGCCACTTGTCTTGCAAACTGCAGCATATTTAAAAGACACTAAACAGGTCTTAAATGAGGTTAGCACCTTAACCACTGATTTTTTTCTTGACACATTATAGCTCCCTACATACTACCCAGAAGGGTTTTATTTTAGACCTATTGGAATTTGCGATGTTCCGGAACTATTTTTGGTTCAATAAAGAATATTACCTGCAGATTAGAGGCGTGGCAATGGGGGCAAAGTTTGCCCCCAGCTTGGCAAACTTGTTTATGGCCCGTTGGGAGGAGGACCTTATTTTTGCCAGAGATTGGCCTGAATTGTTTTATAAAAGATATATCGATGATATCTTGCTTATATGGAATGGGGAGGAGGAGTCTCTTAAAAATTTTTTTAACTCATTAAATAATAATAGTCTTAATATAATGCTTTCATATGTTTACAGCCGTGAAGAAATAAACTTTTTAGACTTGACACTTGTTAACCATATGGGTAGGATCATCACCAAATCATTCTTCAAATCAACGGATCGTAATAGTTTCATCCCTCTGGGGAGTTGTCATCATCCTAAATGGCTGTCCAATATTCCAAAAGGACAGATGATGAGAATCAGACGTAATTGTACGGAGGATGAAACTTTTCATATTCAGGCCAACATTTTGAAGCATAGGTTTATAGAGAAAGGATATGATGAGGTAACCCTTGAACACACTATTCGGACAGTAGCACAGATGGATAGGAATACCATGCTGATGGACAAATCAAGGAATGATCAAAGGAAAATATGTCCCTTCATCACATCCTTCTCGACTCAGTATAAGAAGATTAGCAAAATAATGAATGATAATTGGGGTATTTTAAAAATGGACCCAATTTTAACTACAATTCTACCAGATAGGCCAGAAATTGTATTTCGGAAGGCAACTGCTGTTAGGCATATGATTGCACCAAATGTCGTTGATCCTCCTAAAAATATATCTCTGTTCAACGATTTGAAAGGGTTTCACCCCTGTAATAGGTGCATTATTTGTAAATGCGATAATACAAGAAAAAGGAGAATTAACACATTCCAGTCATCTATCACCGGTAGAACTTATAATATCAAACACTTTATTTCTTGCAACAGTAGGTTCGTAGTGTACTTACTACAGTGTCCCTGTCGTAAACAGTATGTTGGTAGGACAACAAGACGTTTACGAGATCGACTACGTGAGCATGTTTCAAACATTAAGAAGGGGTTGAGGGAGCACTCACTATCAAATCATTACCGCCTTCACCATAATAATGATCCATCTTCATTAAAGTTCATTGGCATTGATATGATCGGCAACCACTGGAGGGGTATCAATAAAATTAGGGCGGTTTCCCAAGCCGAAACCAAATGGGTGTTTGAGCTTCGCACCTTACACCCTTTAGGCCATAACATTGAGGTAGATGTTAACTGCTTCATTGCTAACAGTTGATGGGTTAATGTCTCTTCCCATTGCCATTTTATGTATATGAAGTTCGTTTAAAAATTTTTTTAATTTTTTATGATGTATTTATGAGTACTTTTATATCCTGCACAAGGTTGCATTTTTAGTGTGTTTTTTTTTCATGTGTATGACACTCTCTGACTTTTTATTTGAATATCCATCTATCTTGATTGGATACTACTCACCGTTCCTATGATCAATTTTTATTAGTTTCCTTCTGCCCCGTTTTAACCTCCCAAATATATGGGTTGGGTAGAGGAAGGATCTTGAGGGTTTTCTAATGTATTAATTTTGGAGTTTTTTTACCTCTTTTTTGCTCTTTGTTCTGAATGTATATTTGGGATATATATCTCTATCTTATATGATCTGGCAGTATAATGCTATACAGGGTATTCACTGCCAAGATCTTATATCTTATATTTTTTATGTATTTTAAGTCCTCTTATGGTTTTATTTTGTGTTACCTATGCTGGGGTATCCTTCATCTTGCCGTGGTCCGTTACTAGTACTATATGCCAAACACTGTGGGGATCTTTTGTACCCTATATATGCGCACTGTTGTTGCTAAGTTATTTGCACCATCACTGTATTTAGGGAATAGTGTTTGCAAATAATTCCCTGGGGTCTGTGGCATAGTTAGCAAGCGGTACTGGGGATCGGTGTCATGAGACTTCTCTGTCTCTTCCCTGTCTTATTGTCTGATCGCGGATCCACGGCAAAATGGCGCTGCCGTGTTCGCGCATGCGCAGTGCTCTCTTTCTCCGGGAAAATGGCCGCGGTTAACTGCGCATGTGCCGATTTCCCCATTTCTAGCACTGACGTCGGTCACGCTCCTGTGCAGCCTCCCCTCTGATGATGTGCCTCTAGCACGAAAGGCCTAAGGAGGAGCTGCGCAGAGTGTGACGTCATTCCGCCGCCGGAGCACGAGGAGGCCCGGCGGCCATCATTACTAAGGGGTCAGTATTGCTGCTTACTGTGTTTGAAGTCTGACATGCATACTGCCCTGTGTTATGTTTTAAATTAATAAATACTTTGGACATACTACACTATCTTTGGCATTTGTGTTCTGGGGCTCCTTTTTGGAGCTATCACCCCCACAGAAATAAACACCTTTGCCATCCTGAGAGGAAGTTCTTTTACAAGGAACGCCGGGCTGACCTTAAAGGGACCCCTGTACCTGAGCTAAGAGTCTGTGAGGATCCACCGTGAGGGAGATGCTTGGCTGCCTGACCTCAGATGTACCTATTGCTTGTGATGCATGATCACACACGCGCATAACCCATGCGTTTCCGGTGAGTGCGCATTTCTGTTATTAGACGGAGCCGTGGGAATTCGTATTTGTACAGTGTACTACTGTGGACATTTATTTAGTGACTTTTTTACTTCGCTAAGCGCTGAACTCTGTTCTAGAATTATTGATACATTTTAAGGCATTATGGTTGCCTATAGTGTTCTAGCTGCTGACATTTAAGAGAGCGCTCACTACCCTTTTTACTATAGGTATTTATTCACTACTAAGATTTTTATTTTTTTGCTATATAAATGAAAGTCCAAACATTTTGAAGAAAAAGGTGTTTTTCTTATAAAAGTTTGCAAATAAATAATCTTTCTTCATAAATATTGGCCAAAATGTATTCGTCTATCTTTTAGTGGAAAAAAAAAAAAAAAAACAAATTGGTTAATAACCAAAAATTATAATTAAAATTTTTTTTTTATTTTTTCCCTACCATCACCCTAGCAGTACAGTGGTATCATAGTGACACTGGTAGTACAGTGTCACTATGATACCACTGTACTGCTAGTGTGTGTGTGTGTGTGTGGTTTACACGGTTTGCTTTTACACTCATTAAGGCTATAAAAGCAATACTTTCTCCATCTCTCTGGCTGCATTCTTGCAGCCATTGAGAAATACTGTGTGAGCTGTGATTTGTCACATGGTACAAGGCTGCTGTGAATAGCCTTGTACTATGTGACCTCTGTGATCATTCACAGATTTCACAAGTAGTAAACAATGATGTCAGGAAGTGACCTCTTTTTTTACTACTGTTCCTGTGATCACTGATTAGCCAATCCGTGATCACATGAATCAGGACCTCGCACAGAGGTCTCGTACAGTGATCAGTGTGCTGCATGCACAGGCAGTGAATGCGGAGGCCGTTTATAAATAGCCACCCGCACTGCTCCCGTCCAGCTGTTTATGTACGCCGGCCGGAAGGGATGTGGTTAAAGTGATCTTAAAACAAGAATTGAATATATTGCAGCCTACCAATCCTTAGATGTGGTGGCTGTATTAGTTTTCTTTTCCCCCTCCCCCTATCTGGCCAGTAACAAATCGCCTGTATTAGAATGCCTCTACTCTGGATGAAGGAGCACAGGGACAGCTGGGGGGAGGGAAGTGTTACTATCAGATTTAGATACACTGACAAATAGAAGCCAAACTCCAGCTCACAGTTTGAAAGATGTAACAGCTTTGTGTGTGTGTGTTTTGTTTTTTTTGTTTTTTTTTTTTATAAAGGTTTTACATGTATAAATAAAATTGGATGAGTTCTAAGCACCCCTGTCAGTGGTAATGGGTTTATCTCATCCTTGTAACTACTACAAGAGAGCTTATTCTTTTGATAAAAACAGGCTTGCTGGCCAGATGAAAATAGACAAAAAGGGAGCCTAAAAAAGAAAACTAATGCAGCCAGCTGAATAGTAATGCAGCTAATCTTGTAAAGTGAGGGGAAATTCCTATTTTAGACAATTGTCAAGTTCCACTCCAGGAGTAGAAACTTTCATTGAAATTTATTTCTCAATACCTAATTGCTTTTGTAAACCTAGTTTTTTAACTTGTAAAATTGTGGTAATATCACTGTGCTGTACAGTCTGTGCAGAGGGCAGAGATAAGGTTTCACACTGGATTACTGCACAGGTCTGAACGAAACAACAAGATTCAAGTAAGAATACACATGCCTCTTGTAGGCAATATTTTTAGGATGACAATGCTAACTTTTTTTTTTTTTTTTTTTTTTTTTTTTTTTTCATTCACTTTTAAAGTGAATCACCCCAGTGGGAGACAGCAAACTTAACAGGGGCTAACCCTTCCCCACTCTGTCCAAAACTGAGAACTGTCTTGACTACAGATAGTTTAATTAGGAGGAGCACAAATCACTTTTCAATGCTTATTATTTGCAAATGGCAGCATGAATTTAGAAGGATCAGTAGTTTCTACATTGTATCATTCTATTCTACAGCATCTCGGTCTTGCTAGTGATGGCTGTTCCAGGCACATGCTCTGAAATAGATACCGTACCATTATTCTTTATAGGGCATATTTATAAGGCATTGATGCTGACATTCAACAACCCTTCACTGCAGGTGAATCTATCTGGTGTATGTGTATTCAATGATGGTGAGGAAAGTCACATTTACTGACTTATAAATATGCCCATCTAATGCATTTGCACTGGCTGAAGTTTGGGATTTAGGATACAAAGGGTAGCACAAGACAAAGCTGCTCAGCACCCTGCAGCCCAGGCAACTGATAGCTCCTTTAGGGCCCATTAACAGTTGCAAATGCGGCTGTTTGCAATTAAATATGGGAGACCCAGCAGGGGTTCCATGCTACAAGCTGTGGGCAGGAAGCCTCTTTGAAAACAATTGGAGGCTGACAGCTCCCACAGCTACTTGCAGCAACTAGCATGCAATCGCTCATGAAGCGATTACCTGTGAATGATTAGCCCTGGATGCACATGAATAGGTCTGCACGTGAGGTCCAGAGTTTAATTTACAGTCGTCATAGTGGGATGCCTGAGATGATCAAAATTGCAGTATATGTTTAATGGAAGACACTTTAAAATGTGTAAAGGTTAATCTTGTTTTACTGTGCTGGGTCATGTTTGTTGTACATTCTTATTGTAATGTTTTCTTTGGTCCAGGTAAAAAACTTTGCTGTGATCTATCTTGTGGATATAACAGAAGTACCCGATTTTAACAAGATGTATGAGTTGTATGATCCGTGTACAGTCATGTTCTTCTTCAGGTAGGTATTCCATAATTACTTGTATTTTGAATTGAAGCCTATAAAGAGAAAACTAATGCAGCCACCACATTTAAGGATTGGTAAGTTGCATTAATTTTTTTTGTTTTTGGGTTTAAAACTACTTTAACGTGCCCAATTCTAGCTGACCCTTTAAAGAACTTGTAAAGCCAGAGGTTTGTAGGCAGGCTCTCGAATGTGATCACCGTGCCTGACTGTCCCAGTGATTACATGATTGGTAGTCATTCCCACCAGCTCCTGATCATCAAGTTACAGGGAGTGGTCTCTGCCTGTGTAGTCAGTGCCGTGTGCATCCACTCAGAACAATAAATGTGCTGACCAGCCATTTAATTGTAGTGACCAATCCTTGAAGTGTATGTTACCTTGAATATTTTTTTTTTTTTTTTTTTTTTTTTCTTCCCTGTGTGCTTTCACATGTGTATCTTATAAATCATATTCTATATTAATGTTTTTCCATTTGAAGTTCCTGGTTGATCCTGGCAATTATCTTTCTTCCTTGTTCTAAACTGAACTCGCAAAGCACAGAAGCTGATCTGTTCTTCTGTGGTCCGTTTTTTAATCCTTTGGCTGACTGTTTAGAAGTACAGATCACTTTGCAGACACAGAACATGCCTGTATTGGGTAGTTTGTTCAGCCTCCCCCTCCCCCAGCCCAGCCTGCCTCTTCAACACATCCCCTGCTCATGCACTGTTTGCATCTTGCCCCAGTCAGAATAGACTATGGAATACAGGTACAATGTGTGTCTGTACAATGTGCTGTAACCCCACTCCCATTATCAGGAAGAAAGGATGCTTGGTCACATGACAGAACAATTTAACCTCGTGTTAAAAAAAAAAAAAAAATTAAAATTTCTGAAACTAAGTAAAAGCAGATATGGTTGCTGCTTAGCTGTATTAGAAATTGTCTATAACATTGCATGTTATAAAGCTGCCCCATAAGATGATTTTGAGACTTTTACATTCTACTTTTAGATGGCTGGATCTGCAACAGAATAAAGTGGTTGTAAACATCTTACTGGACAGAGAGGCAGCCATTGGCTCCCGCTGCTGTCAATCACAGCCAGTGAGCGGGGGGCAGGGCTGAGCCATGCTCTGTGTCAATGGACACACAGCCTGGCTCAGGGTTGAGCCCACATGAGTGCCCCATAGCGAATGCTTGCTATGGGGGTACTCAGAAGGGAGGAGGAGCCAGGAGTGCTGGCGGGGGAACCCAAAAGAGAAGGATCAGACCTGCTCTGTGCAAAACCATTGCACATAGCAGGTAAGTACGACATGTTTGTTATTTAAAAAAAAAAAAAAAAAACATTTTCCTTTGCAATCAATTTAGGCAGTTGGAGCAAACCTAGCAGTTCAGTGTTCATATTATGGTGGATGCAATTGACGTTAGTACTAAAGTCACATAAATGTGCAGATGCAGCCCTCAATTTGATTGTACCTTTCATCCTGCCATTTGATATCAGAGTGTGTGTATATGCTGGCTGTGGTTTTATATGGTTAGATTATATTTTGTGTTTTTTCCCTATAACAGGAACAAGCACATCATGATTGACTTGGGGACAGGTAATAATAACAAGATAAACTGGGCAATGGAAGATAAGCAAGAGATGATTGACATTGTGGAAACTGTTTATCGTGGTGCTAGGAAAGGCAGAGGTCTGGTGGTGTCTCCTAAGGACTACTCAACAAAGTACAGATATTGATGGACCAGTTTGTTAATGAGACATCTGTGGGTTGGGGTTTTTTTTTTTTTTTTTGTTTTTTTTTTTGAGACTATAATGCCACTTATGACATCCTATGTGTTGTGAGATCAGAAGGTGTAAGCAGTTTTACAGTTTACGCATTTTGACAACAGAAACATCATCAGCTTTATTTACAATCCATCTCGATCTGGAAGTCTGAGAGGCTGAAGCCTTAACCGCCTTATTTATAGAAAATGATCTTTGTATATTGTAATGTGTTTAATAAATATGATATTTTTACTTTGTGAATGTTATGTTTTGATTTTGAATTCCAGATCATACATTTTTAATTTTAGCCTTGGCATGAGTAGTATTAAAGTGCATCTGTATTTATCCAAGAAAAAAATAGAACAAAATGTTCTGTTTTGTGCTGCAACATCGCCACCTAGCTGTTAATAACTAAGAATGCAAGGGTATCTTCTTTCAGAATCTGCGTACATACTGTGCATATACAGTTTATGGAGGACTGTTTGCAAAATAAGAGACCTATGACCAAGTAAAAAAATAAGCATCTGCTAGGTTTATTTTTAAGCAATGGAACTTTTACAATCTTGCACAAAGGGTATAACCATATAGATGCGTCTTAAGAGTTTTTTTAAGAAAAGTTAGATAATTTAACAAAAGTTAAACACACAAGTCCAAAAAAATCTATTAGCAACTTCCACTGCAACCCAATTGGGGCACACAGCCTATGGCACGAATTCTTATCTCAGCATTTATCAAAAGGCTGCATGGTCATCAAAACCTGTTTTAGATTGTAGAGTCTTCATCGGAATAATTGCAGTTCAGCTTTTTCACTGGTTACACCACCACTACATCTTGCACATGAGGGAACACGGAACAGAGGTTGCACAAAATTGTCCAAGAGACTGTAGATATATCTTGTCAGGACAAAGGATTGTCTAACATCTCATATGAACTCATGATTTCTTTTGTTTCAACAAGCTGAAGGGTGTAAGTGCTGCAGTGTGAATGCATTTCTTATGTGGTTGTAAGCAACGCTGAGTGATTGTGATGGATTAGTATTGTGAAGAAATTATAGTACTCCTATAACAGTGTTTAATTAATAGTATATGTTCACTTTTTTTTTTTTTTTTACACATTTACATGCAGACAGGATGCTTAGAACTGTCACGTATTAATGTTTATTTTTAATGTTAAGTTACTGTTTGTCCCAACTCCTGTCAATATAATTTTCGCTGGACAGACAGCCTGCATGTAACTATTGGCAAATACAGAATTCATATACTAATTTTTCAGCGGTGGTCCCTTAGGCTGGATTTACACTGTTTCTGTATGCTGTGCTTTAAAGTGTTACTAAACCCAGGACCCTGCATTCACTAGATCTGGTCTCCCACAGTACACACAACATGAAAGTGAAATTATTTTAGTAAATATAAACTAACTACCTTTTTCTAATGAGCAGTCTTGTGACTTCTATCAGTGTCCGCAAGGGAGAATGTGACCAGCACACCGAGGATCACCAATATGGGTCCAAAAGTTTTAATGAATGATCACATAGTTACAGCAAGGCAATGTTTGAGTCTCACAGGACCCCTTCATTAGGCATGTGACACATGTATTGGTGATCCTCTGTGTGCTGGTGACATTCTCCCTTGCTGATTCTGTTCGGTTCCAGACTACTGTCGCTGCAGCACCCACTTATACACACAGCCATTATTAACGCTGGAATGTGTGCGTTTTGAATTGTACACTTGCATTCTATCAGTGTCCAGCACAGCATTGGTTAAAGTTTGTAGGAGGAGTTTTCTTTTTGATCTAGAAGTATGCAAAGCCCTGACCTCTGTCTGGACAGTGCTGATTGGCCTTGTGCTGATCACATGCACTCTCCCAAGAAAAAAAAAAAACAACCTGGCAATACACACAACTGAGCATGCAGAATGGATACAGTTCAGTCTGTCAGGAGATCAGACATGGACCTTTGAACAAGAGGAGGAGCAGAGAAGTCAGGATCAAACTGCCTTTTTACGCAATGCAGAGGATTAACCCCTTAGGTTCTACAGTGAGTATAACAAGCATGCTTTACTACATATACAGACTGATTTTACTGTTGTGGGTTTAGTAACACTTTAATGTTCTGGCAGCTCATTCATTTGAATAGGCTTTCGAATGCACCAAAAAGGTATGCAAAATTTTTTTTTTTTTTTTTAAACACAGTACACCATTGTGCATTGCACTGCAGACACAAGGTCAATTGAGGTGGCATTAGCAATGAGTGTCATGAGAGTGCAGCAATGTGTAATAAAGTGCATTTTCACAGAGCAGCAGCATAAACTGGGTCTTATTGATTTCTAGATTGCAACAACAGTTCGATAGCAGACTTCATTTGTAGGTTGACATTGTCTTTAAAATAAAGAAACCTGGCACTTCCAAGAGTAGGTTTTTGTTTTTTTTTTTTTTTTTTTAACTTTTTACGTAGAAAACACCATTACATAAAAACTTCATTTCAGATTTTTGCAAATGTCCACAGTTTAGTGCTAAAAGAGAAAAAAAAGAGTTGTTAAATTATAAAGTGAAAACGCATGAGAACTATGTGATTTACCATGTTAAAAAAAACAATCGTACTTTGGATTACTTTTATGGTTTCTTTTGAGATGTGAAAAACTGTTTTTCGGAATTTATTATCAAACACTACACTGATTCCTTGCCATGATAATTTCAGCATAAAATATGTAACGCTTACAGATTGCATGAAACACTTTTTGCATGGGCATATGCTTAACCCCTTCATGCCTAAGGGTAAAACAAATCTAAATGCCTAAGCACAATTTTGCAATGTTGACATGTGTTAGTAAAACCATACATATCACAACTACTTTGTACATCCAGGTGAATTATACCTTGTTTTTTTTCAGGACAAATTGGGCTTTCATTTGGTGGTAAATGGTAATGGATATCTCCTGATGATGTTTTTTTTTTTTTTTTTTTAATTATCATCAAAGGAAAGCTGGCCCAAAATAATAAAAAAAAAAAATATTTTTTTTTTTTATTTAGCTGTGTTTCTTGTTACTATTATAACCTGCCACCAAAGAACAACCCAAAATAAATTCTCCAGCTCTTGACAATCGCAGCGATACCATATGTGTTTGTTTGTACCTGTAGTACAGCCCAGAAACAATAGTGCGCATTTTTGTTTAGTACTTTTTTTTTTTTATTTATTTATTTTTTTTTTTACCTAAAAACACACTGACACCAATTTTTTTTTTTTTTTTTTTTTTTTTCTTTTCTTAAATCCTGACCTTGACCCAAACACTTACCCTGGCACTGCACTAGATCAAACCTTGATCTAAGTATTTTTTTCTATTTTATTTTTTACAAACATTTTTTCCCTCCTCTATGCCAGGTGTTAGAGAGATACAATGTATCTATCTCCTTCATTCATAGAAAGTATAAAAAAAAAAAAGGGGGGGGGGGCTGGGCTGTACAGTGACTGATCACTGTGATAGCCAATCAGAGGCTATCCCAGCAATCGTGTGACCCAGAATCAGGAGTCCTGGGTCCCAATCGTTAGAATGGGGCTCTCAGTGACACCACGGTCTTTGTGCTGGGAGAGCGCCGTGCGGTGTGCTCCCAGCACAAAGGCAGGCATGCAAATAGGCGGCCCCATGGAAAAAAAGCTCAGTTCTGTGAGGCCGCATATTTGTGTGACATCAGTGTCAAGGGGTTAAGTATGTCCATGTGAACAAGGCCTTAGATGTGTTACCATTGATCTCTAACTCCATATAGTGTGCTTTTAAGAAAATGCACCTCAATGAATTTAACACACTGCAATTAAAAGGTGCTAACAAGGCCTTACCTGTCCCACTGCTTGTGCCTCTGATCTTTGCTCTCTTGCAGAGATACATTGCTAAACTTACTGGGGTGTCGGGCACCCGTATCCCTCACTATATGCTGTGGTGCCAACTATATTATTAACTTAGCAGCTGGTGGGGGAACATCATCATACAGTGGTAGAAACAATAGTACTATAGCTGCCAGCAGGTGAATCTATGCTTCCTATCAGAAGGGTTCTGAAGATTCTTCACCTGATGTAGCTCTACAAGAACAGTAAAAATTGAAGGCACAGGCTTGCAGGACAAATATGTATTATTAGTATTCTGATATGTGCTTTTTACTATCATGTAAATATCTTGTTTTAACCAGGGCTTTGTTTCCTCATAGAATAGGTGCAGGCAGGGCGACTGACAAATCATAGGGCCCCCTGGCAATAGGGGATCATGGGGCACCCTGTGTCCTTGCCCAAACTCAAAAAAGCCTATGAAAAAGGCACCACGGGCATCTCATGGGGCCCCCTACTGACCCCGGGCCCTCAGGCAGTGCCCAAATTTCCAAATGGTCAGTCCGTCCCTGGGTGCAGGTATTACCCCCTTCTGAGTCAGCTTTTGTCTACATTCCCTACTCACCTCTGAACACCGTCCCTTGGTTTCACCCTCCTCCCAGTACTGTCCCTTTTAGAGAATACAGAACCAAATATTTTGTGGTGATAAGCACTCTGTATATAATTTGTTAATGATAACAAGAAAAGCAGTAAAATAGATCCCCTGCTGCCAGCAACAATAGATCTCCCAGCATCAATAAACCCTCTAGCAGCCAGCAACAATAGACCTCTCCAACAGTAGATCCCTTGCAGCAACAATTGACCTTCCAGCAACATAAGAACCCCTCTCCTAGCAACAATAGATTCCCCCAGCATTAGAGAGGACCCTACTGTGGGGTGGAGGGGGGGCAGAGGACATTACAGTGGGGGGGGGGGGTGATGTGAAGGGAGGTAGGACATTGCTGTGGGGAAGCAGGAGACACTACTGGGGGGGCAGAGGACACTACTGTGAGGGGGATGATGAGAAGGTGAGCGGAGGACACTAGTGGTGGTGGAGGGGCACAGGACACTATGCTGTCCCCCCCTTCCCCTGGGAATCTTTGATTTCCTCCATGTTGTCCCG